TGTACATATAAATATATTAGAAATAAATTCAAGATATCTTAAATTCAATTCAAGATATCTATAAACAATTGAACATATCTGTAATTCCGTAATAAACGTGAAAACGGCTTTGCCATACATCAACTGTGCGATCCGACATTCGTGCTCGTATCTGTAGTGCGTAACCCATATTTTTCATAGACAGGATATTCAAATACCTGGCACGCTGATGATTTACAGTTGGCAGTTTTACGATGCAGTTTTTTTTCTAAAACTACCTTAACATAGACTTGCAACATACGTCAGTGCAGTATCCGGCGTGATTGATCTCAGATAGTGCAGACTACAATGTATATATGACATATCTCACGAAAACAAGGGAAACAGGGAACGCCAACGCATACAAACAGTGGCCTTATTCAGTACACACGATTCGCCAATACGAACATGTGTTAATGTGGACGATGTCATCGGGAAGCGGGGGAACGGGTGGCCCAGTCGTCTAAGGCGCCGCTGTTCGCTGTGCAGAGTTGTGTCCCTTGGTCACGCCAGAAACCCTCGATTGTTGGTTCGAATCCCGTTTCGCCCCGATTATGTTTCTAGGTTTGTTAGTGGTTTCACCGAAGTGGTAAACGTCTCAGACCTGCATCACTTCGGGCTTTCGTCCCACATTAAACTGACACGCCGCGATATAACTGTTCAAAGTGGCATCAAACTCAACTCACTCTCTCACTCACTCATCGGGAAGAGTGACTTTCACTCTATATCGTGGGGTAAAATGTTTTTGCGAAAGGTTAGAGAGGTAAAGGTAAAACAGCGCACACAGCTCTAGCCTAAAGATGATATATAGCTACATGGCGATATTACCTACATCCATATATCAAACTTGACACTTCTACTACACACGCTGTAGAATAGCCTAAGTAAGTACAACAGAGAGGAGATAATCGGTTGATATGTGATTAATAGTTTCTGGAGAGACAACGTGTGTATGGAGGATCACTCTCTTATTTGCGTGGTCTTAAAGGCGGAGTGTCAGTTATACATCTGACAGTGGTGAGCACAGCACCCGACAGCTTCTACCAGGCATTGCTGAATAAATCGTGGCAATCATTGATGAGTGAATCATTCGCGTGTATGTTTGACCCGATTTAGGTAATACGACTGAATGTCATCTCAGATCTGAGTACAGTCAGATTGCCGTTATATTCGGAAGTTTTACCAAACCCCAGTCCGTGCGTCTAGGGCTCTGTTTCTGCCTTAGTGTTGTTGACCCAATTACAGTCCGTTCAAGTCTAGGCATCGGTATCTGCCTTAGTGTTGTTGACCCAATTACAGTCCGTTCAAGTCTAGGCATCGGTTTCTGCCTTAGTGTTGTTGACCCAATTACAGTCCGTTCAAGTCTAGGCATCGGTTTCTGCCTTAGTGTTGTTGACCCAATTACAGTCTGTGAAAGTCTAGGCATCGGTTTCTGCCTTAGTGTTGTTGACCCAATTACAGTCTGTGAAAGTCTAGGCATCGGTTTCTGCCTTAGTGTTGTTGACCCAATTACAGTCTGTGAAAGTCTAGGCATCGGTTTCTGCCTTAGTGTTGTCTAATGTAGAAACTAAAACATTTGCTATCTTAGTTAAATCACGCCGACTGATTTGTATGTAAAACGCATGTACCTTCTTATCAGTGTAATAAGGTATCTGTTGAAGGATGACTGGGAGTGAAGTACGAACTCCCGACCAGTTTATTTACTACTGTGTAATCAGAAGCGTGCCATGGCAATGCTAGACTGTGAGTTGATCTGGTGGTTAAAGCGTTGTTTCATCACGCCGAGGAGCCTCATGTGTACAGCGTGTGACGCCCATGTGCTGTGGCCCTGACCCTTCTACTCTTCATGCTCCACATGTACATCCTGTCCAAAACATTACTTCCAGACCGCGACCTCAATCAATACAACGTCTTAACATCCACCAAATACCCGAGTCTCAGGACTGTACAAGTAAAACTGCAACAGTAACTGACAATGAATAATACAACAATGGTTCACAATAACCTCAGAGATGACCTTGACCTTGACACTATTAGTGGTGGTAGAAAACTGTTGTACATTTATTAATAGTAATTGTCAGCGGCAGAAAATATTGAACAACTGGTAAAAAATATCAATTGCCGTCGTGGCCTGACTTGGATCGCAGTCGACAGCAGCAAGTGGACCTTCTAGAAAGGTTTTGTACTATAACTAGAGTTATCCGCCCTTGTTGTACGCATGAATATCGAAAGCTTAATCCTTCGAGAGGCATCGGGAAGAGACAGTTTCTAGAAGGCTGGCTGTACCTATTTAAGACCTGGGCCTCGTTCCTCAAAGCGATCTTAGCGCTTCAATTATCGTATATCTATGTTAAAGTATTGGACTTAGATCACCTTAGCGCTAAGATTGCTTTGAGGAACGGGGCCCTCACTTGTTTCTAGTCAAGTGCGGCTTGGATACCTAACTAGAAACATCGGATTCCTGCCAGATCCCAACACGAAGGAAGACCACTTTCAAGACTTACAACAGTGACAATATTCTAGACATTCTTGAGTGCTCTAACACTAATTATGAGTTTCTTCTAATTGCTGTCGCCACTTATTAAACCCTCTGTATTGCCTCCTTCATTGTGAACCTAAAACCGCGTGTTTAAAAATGATCTATTCATTAGTCATTGAATCTTGTCATTATGTCATTCACTGATTTCACAATTCAGCTGTGAGCGTACAGATTCCTGGGTTAACCTCTGTTTTAGCTTTGGAACTCACCTCGTAACAGAAATAGAGGGTTCGCCTGGGAGTTGTTTCATTATTAAATGTGCCAGTGTTCATTCTACCCTCATTATTGTACAATCAATATCGGTAATATGGAGTTTATGGTCGAGTCACTTGTTTCATTTGTTTTGTAGACATCCGATGTGAGCTTTAGCTAAGAAGCCTTCAATCACAAAAAAGTGATATTTTGAGGAGGAAAGTTTGACTGATTCGGCTTTGGCTTTGCTTAGTGAAGAAAAAAAAAGATCCTGTGCAAACCTTTTCCTGGGTTAACCCCAGGCGTTTCAATTTGGAATTCCCCCCACACACAGCACCAACACTAAATGTCGTAGGAATGGAACGATACATGCACATTAAGATACAGTTTCATACCTGCAGACTCTGTGTGTGTGTATGGTTTTACGCCGCTTTTAGCAATATTCCAGCAATATCACGGCGGGGGGCACCAGAAATGGGCTTTACACATTATACCCATGTCGGGAATCGAACCCGGGTCTTGGGCGTGACGAGCGAACGCTTTAACCACTAGGCTACCCGACCGCCCCTCATACCTGCAGAGAGTTACCTCTGCCTCAGAAACCGACAATGGCCTAATGATGTCAATTTGTCAAAAATGAAAGCAACTGACATCTGACGTTTACTGAGAACACAATATGTGAAATGCTGGACTTCCTCCTTGATAACACTATGTAACATGAGGGGGTGAGACATTTAGGCAAGAAGTAGGCATCCCCTTGGGCATCAATAGGGCCCCCCTTCTTGCTGATATGTTTCTTTATGCATATGAATCGGAGTTTCAGCTCGGATTGTTAAAGTCCAAACAAGGGAATTTAACTTAAGAAGTTTAACTTAAGCTTCAGTTATATCGATGATCTGATATCGTTCAATTGCCATCAAATAGCCAATTCCCTTCCAGCGATGTACCCACCTGAATTAGAAATAAAGGAGACCAGTCAGACCACCTCATCGGTTTCATATTTAGATCTATGCATAAAAATACGGAGTGACAAAACACTCTCCACAAGACAGTGTGACAAAAGGGAAGACTTCAACTTTCCACAAGTCAACTTTCCCTTTATGTCGAGCAATGTTCCTGCAGCTCCAGGGAGGCAACACTCACCCAGCATGCACCTGTAGGCCGAGCTCCGTCTGGGATGTGACACCACGCCCTGTTAGTAACAAAGCCATCAGCAACCTTGTCTCGTGCAGTTATGTAAACGTGTAAGTGTCATGTATTTATATTAGAAAGTTATAGGAGACGCACATGTAAGAATTAGAACTGTGCAGACCCATTAAGAACAGAGGTAAATGATGCGTATATGCGAATTAGGGTTGTGCAGTTGTGGGGGCATGAAGAAAACACCTTGATCAAATTACCGAAGAAACCAATAAATGTCCATTTGATATATCACAAAAGAAAGACGACCAATACACAAATTAAAAGTATTCTGACATCCAGTGGTTTACCTGGGGTGAAATTCCCCGGCTTCAACGCGAGGGCAGGCATTGTGGGACCCAAATTTTTGGTGTGAATTGTTGAAAGTATGCAGCAACTCACTCACTACAAATCACAAGCACGGGTATTGTGCTGACAAACCTAGAAACATAATCAGCCATGGCGAATATGAGATTTCAACCCACAATCATAGCTTATTGCCACTCCTAATGAACGTACAGTAAACTACGGTTATAACGAACACGCTTATAACGAACTTACGGATATAACGAAGTTACTTTTTTGGTCCCGACTATTTGCTGTAGTTATGCTGTATATATGCTTATAACGAACTACAGTTATAACGAACTAAAATTAGTAGTCCCTTTGAGTTCGTTATAACCGTACTTTACTGTAACTCTGCACAGCGGCGCATTATAGACATCTGGGTCACCCGTGCCCCTCTTTAAATAAAAGCAATTGCGACGTGGTTTATACGTTGGTGAACCTATATTAAGCGTGGTATGACGTGAAGCCTTTAGGTAAGCCCCGCGTCTTGTAAATGTTACAGTCAAACTGTGAAATCGGTAATTTCATGAAATGACTAAATCTTTCAGCTGAGCGCTGATTGGTCGGCGCTGCTTTTCCCCTAGACCAGGCCTCTGTATGATTCGTTGGTTAGAAATGGCGACTGCACAGTAAAGCGCCCTCTATATTCACGGGTGATGGAGCGATGACGTGTACCCATGACGTACTTACGATGGGGAAAAAAGATAACACAAATCGAACTAAATGAAAATTATTATTTATTCCAGGGGAATATTGTTGACATAAATTAAAAGCTGTGCCTTTTTACAATTTGGTTTATCAAATTCTAAATTGTTCAGTATCACAAAACAAATTGTAACATACAATCCATCTACTGTACACTAGACACATTCTGCTTGTCTACGTCTACTGACTACTCTCTGTTCCGGGACAACATGGATGTGGACACAATGTTGTACAGAGGCCAAATGAACGTAGTACAGAGAATATATTGTTAGAAACAGAAAGATGATCTGTCGACATACTTTATTTCGTCAGGTGTTGCAGCTTATTTCATAAATAAATATAAAAAAGACAGCGGCCGTTTCAAAGTAAACACAAATCAAGCTTAAATAACCAGTCTCAAATAAGGTCTAAAACAAACAAATATAAAAAAATGATTTATCTCTGAAAACATTAAATGATAAAATGTAAAAGAACCGAGGAAAACATTTTGCAATATATGCATAAATTGACATGAGAGTAACATTATGACGACAAAAGACCTGACTCTAGTGATTGATCGCCAGACTTGTCAGTGAGGGAGGTGTTTTCTCTCTAGTCATGATGAGACGACTGGAACCTGAATGAACCACTTTGACAGAAAGCAGATTACAACATCTGATATATAAAGCTAGTTAAACGGAATATGAAAGATAAAATTACACGACATGATAAGATAAAATACTCCCGAACGCTACACGAACACTCACACCTGAACGCAATTACAATATGAGTTAGAAAACATTGAAATACTATCTATGCGATATCTATTAAAGTCTTGTGGTGGTAATAAATAAACAAAAGGGCCAAAACATTTTAAAGAAGATCAACATCCAAGTTAAAATTCCGACACTAATCCCGACAATAATCTTTTGACCGTACTCTATACGAAGTCGTTCCAGAATAATGTTGTTGTATCGTGTGTTTAAACCAATTACACATAATACTAATACACAAGAGGTAGTGGGTTGGTTTATTATAATATCAAAGGTGATAAAATAACTTAAAAAAACTCTAGTTGAATTATGTCAGATTCTAGTAGAGTACCTTGACGTTACACAATACAGCACAACACCTGGTGCTCTATACCTTGACGTTACACGATACAGCACGACACCTGATGCTCAATATCTTGACGTTGCACGATACAGCACGACACCTGGTGCTCTATACCTTGACGTTACACGATACAGCACGACACCTGGTGCTCAATATCTTGACGTTACACGATACAGCACAACGCCTGTGCTCAATATCTTGACGTTGCACGATACAGCACGACACCTGGTGCTCTATACCTTGACGTTACACGATACAGCACGACACCTGGTGCTCAATATCTTGACGTTACACGATACAGCACAACGCCTGTGCTCAATATCTTGACGTTGCACGATACAGCACAGCACCTGGTGCTGAATAAACCTTGACGCTAGACGATACAGCACAACACCTTGTGCTGAATAAACCTTGACGTTAGACGATACAGCACAACACCTGGTGCTGAATAAACCTTGACGTTACACGATACAGCACAACACCTGGTGCTCAATATACGGTTACTGATTGCCAGTAAACACCTATATCAGTTTTAACGTGACATCCTTCAATACTAAAACTATTCTCAACATAACTGAAGCTTTAGTCCATACACATGTGTCAATCTGAACGGCTCACAAGACTAAATGCAAGGCTGGAAACGATTTGTCAAATACATCTTTGACAACTAGCATATTGATAGTATAATGCTGTACCCGGCATCTCAGTGCACAATGGTATAAACGTATACTCCACCAGTTTTCATGTTAGCGTCATAATCCTCCATTGTTTACCTCTGGTGCACGCACGTTTTCCAGTCGGTAAATAGTCTCCAGAAACGAACCCAATTAATTACGATTAATAACTAAAAGTGAGAAACATGTCTGGCATAAAGTCTTCTAGTTTTTTTCATTTCTGTGCCAGACTTGGACTATTATTATCTCCATCTATTTTAGTCTTAATGCACCGAGACCTGAGAGCAATTGAACGAGTATTTCAAGATAATTAGTTCGTCTGTGTTCGTGTGTTTCGATACAGAGTCATACGTTCGCCACCCTGAAGAGTCACAGCAGACCAGGTCTAGCCATAGTGACGTTTTGGCGTTGTCCAGGTCATCCCGTGGTCACATCTTACATTAACTGACCATGGATATCTCTTTAAACGCTGACCAGATCAGGTATATGTTAAATGACAGTCCATTCTGACACCACTGTCAAGAAGACTTGACCATTCACGTGTGAGCACGAACAGTCTGTGATTATCTAAATATGAGCATTATTTTAATATCGGATTCAAGCTGACCAGTGTTATCACCAAGTTATTTTACCAGGCGATGTTGATCCCTTATCAAACGTAAAAAAGGTTATTCGATGTCATTAGGAAAGGTGCAGGCAATGACAACCAAGCTGTAAGGTCATATCAACCGTGCAGCTTTATTTTGATGCAACAGAAGGGCTACCAGACCGAGTGTCGGATCAAATGTGACCACGTGTTGTCATTCTACTGTCACATTGTGACATTGTATTCCTGCGCACTCTTCCAAAATGGCGGCGCGACTTGCGTCTGGTGCCTCGCCCAAACGAAGAACGTAATCGATGAGGCTCGGTGACGTGCCGATGAATTTATGACTATTGATGACTACTTTTATAATGTGGAGCAGTGAGGAATTTCTTGTTCCGCTGTCAAACTCAAATTTCATTAAGCCGCCATTTGGGTTTGTACATCGCGATTGGCTGTTTGCAACGCACCCCTGTTATGACAGTCAAGACAGTCTAGTGCAGTGGAGCCCACAGGAATCATGTCTCACTCTGGTCGGCTGTTCGTTGATCCCAGCAAAACACACACACACACACACACACACACACACACACACACACACACACACACACACACACACACACACACACAATAATATCTATATGATAAACTACATAACGATACACGTGAACGGTTTGAACTACATCAAACCACCATTAAACATACCAATATCATTGTCACCACCAGTGACGATAGAAAACATTCGCTCACAACACACATAAAGAATATACATAATAATGAATAACTTACAGTATACGGAGTTTGACGTCATAGTGGCATCAATGACGTCATAACGTGCTGGTGTTTGGTATTTGCGTATGTTCTCAAGGTACTCATCTTAGCACCTATAATTGTATATACAACGCCGTACCAACAGATATTTCTTACAGTCGATGTCAGACATGTTGAATATAGTGCAGTAATCTGCACTAACTGTTGTCAGCCAATACACAGTGACATAACAAAGAGAGAGTACATAGTAAATGGATGTTCGTGACATGGCACAGAAACCACAAGGTTGGTCTCACTGTCAACAAGGACATTAAGTACGTGACCAAAAACAAGGACAACGAACACATGTGTGCACAAAAACCCCAATGAAATGTAAAATGAGGTAATATACGGAAAAGGTATTATCATTTAACATGGAAATTACTATGCATCTCAGACTGTATAACCCCAAGTGTCAGGTATGGCGGAGGGAAGATATGGACTGCACTCGCTGTTGTACCCATGTTAATTAACCTGTCTCCTCTAATGGTGGTTCCTGTGATGTTTGGATCATCAACGTTGTACAAGATAATCATGATTTTGCATTCGTGCCGTTGTCATGGAAACACGGATCTTCTGCGACAATGGCTTCTGCTACTTCCATCTCACGAAGGTTCATGTCCTGTTGAACCCACACGTTTACTTGTTAGTAACGCCGCCCATCGTCAAATCTCGCGAGATTAAACCATCTTAGGTCACGTAGTCCCCACGTCGAACTACTTCCGTTATGTCATGATGTCATTTCATCTTTGCAGCTTGCACAGCACTTTTGTCTAAAGTTTATAAAGCGGCATAACCTCATCAGCTTTACGATACTACAGTAGTCTGACTCGTCATTACAGCCTGAAAGAGAAAAAAACATCAACATTACTATAACTGTATGCCTTATTCCGCGATCCACGCCATTTGTGTTCGGACGTAGAGTTTTGGCCTGACTAAAAGGTCCCTTGTTCTGTACAGGTCTAGACGTTTTAAATAGTGTCTCGGTGTGTGTAGTAAGGGTATCCCTACCATGTCAGACTACCATACACCATAAGACAAGAGGACAGATCTGAATCAGACTGACTGGAACTGGTAATGAGTCGCGTCCAGTTCCCATCAAGTTCCGTGCTCTCGGTGCGGTTTTTAGTTCTGCTTGTGCTAAAACAGTACCGCATTAATTCGTCAACAATTAAGCTGATGAATCGTTCGCCTTTTGTAAAATCAATTTTTTTCACACGTTGCTCTGACATTACGGATCTCACTCTCAGAACGACACAAATCTACACAATCATATTTGTTGAGTGTCTGCAACTTGTTGCAACAAATAATACAAGTTATGTCTTTACACTCGACAGCAACTAGTTGCATGCGATGGAAAATCATTACGAAAAGAGTGTAGAGGTTGCAACTAGCTTTCATGCCACGCGCTGTTACCACAAATTGCACTGGAGAACGCACCAGTAGTTCAGAGCTATCTGAGCTGAGGTCAACACCAGTAAGTGTTGGTACAGAGCCTTTGTTTCCTCGTGGCGTTCAGTCTCCCTCAGCCTGTCAGGAATGCCTGCTATTACTACAGTGCACATACATCACGAGATGATCCGTGTAAAGGGACGTAATATGACACGAGCTATGTACAGCTGTACAAGAGAAACAACTGTAGCGAGCCTTTCTGGTAGCTGTCGAGGATTCTTCGTGTAAAAGAAGGTAACAATACAATTAGACTAACTTTGTCCCAGATCAAACAGTTTTCATGGTTGAAGATATATATCGTCAAAATAAAAACTTTTTAAAAGTAAAATCAAAATGGAGCGTGAACTGGGGAGCAAATAATTCCCCTCCTGACGTGATTCCTGTTCTAATGTATTCTCTAGTGTCCCGGTGACCTTGCTCCAAGGCTGTACTGAAAGAAAAGTCCTTCGTTGTGTAGTTATTCTATGCTCCTAATAGGCAAGTCTAGATATGTGGACAGTACACCTAAGGACTCCAGTCTCTTATAGGGACAACTTGTTCTTGTTATTTACATAATCTAGAATTTATGATTTAAACTAATAACTATTGCCTAATAGATTTGCGCAAGTCTAGTTCCCGGAGACATATTATGATACAATGTGAGTTTTAATATATTAAATGTTTGTTAACAACGTAAAATCGTGTTTTATGACACAACTTTTCATGATATTCATTCCCATGCGTTCTGTTGGTAGATTGAGTTAACACGGTAATTCTTGTAGTTGTCGTAATCAAGCGTGTTGCTACATGTATTGTTATGACAATCAGTACAATCTGTTTATACAACTGCACCACAGGTAAATCAGCGGCTACAACCACGCTAGGATCCACGGTGGAATAAGTCTCAGTCCTCTACACCCGTGATTCAGCTCGGATGTCGATGACGCGGCGCAAAACATCACTCACTCAAACACCAACTGGACAACTCCACACGACGTCCTACAAATGTCACTGGAGACTGGTTGGTCGTTGTAGCGAATTGGTGGTTGAAATACGCTGTGCAGGCCCTTAGAGGTACCAGGATCCTCTGATCTTGGGTTCGAATCCCAGTTTCCCTGATTATGGCATTAAGTGTATGAGCATCATACCCATGCTCGTGTGTTTCACTGAAGTGATAAATGTCTACGATTTGAAATTTCTCCTTCCCTCTCACATTAAGCTGCCACACAAACTGTTCAAAGCAGCGTTTATAAATCCAGCTTACTCTGTTAATCACAACAACACCAGTACGAGTATCACGGTAATACTCCACATGTGTTGATGCCAAGAGCTCAGCTTGATGTATAAAACCCACCCTTATAGCAAGTTTGTTTGTTGTTTAACACCACACTCAGCAATATTCCAGCTATATGACTGTGTTCTGAAAGTAATCGAATCTGGACAGTCCAGTGATTGACATCATCAGCATCGATTCACGTAATTGGGACATGAAATTCAGAGAACCTGACTCCGTTAGTCGCCTCTTACGACAAGCATAGTCGCCTCTTTACGGCAAGCATGGGTTGCTGAAGACCTATTCTAACCCAGATCTTCACGGGTCCTTAAAGCGTGTACTTACTGTCGGAACATGCTCTGGCATTGCAGGTCTGTGTGACTATTGGCCGCTTGAGTCGCTCACAGCTCCGTCCCGCTGGTCGTCCCGTGAAGTCCCAGATACACGTGAGACTGCGGCTCTGGAAACCTGTCTCGCCACACTCAGCCAGGCACTGCAACATGCACGACAGACAACCACATCATCAGTCATAGCAAGGATGAACATTTCTCTTAGGAGGATTTAAACTTGTTACAGCACACACACGTGCAAACATATACATGTGGAAGGAAGAGAAGTGTGCTTAAACGAGCAAACGCTACACGTAAAGAGTTGCGTCCCTTAGTTGTGCCAGGAACGTATGATCGTTCAAATCCATATGTGATAACAACAGTATTTTGTCATATGCAAACTATTGTGTGTACTAGGTATGGATAACGAATTCTGATATATGTACACTACATTTTGTACAGAGTTGCGATAACCTGGTTCCATCGTAAAAGGGGGCGGTCGGGTAGCCTAGAGGTTAAAGCGTTCGCTCGTCACGCCGAAGACCCGGGTTTGATTCCCGACATGGGTACAATGTGTGAAGCCCATTTCTGGTGTCCCCCGCCGTGATATTGCTGGAATATTGCTAAAAGCGGCGTAAAACCATACTCACTCACTCACTCACTCCATCGTAAAAGAGGGATATCATTGATTAACTGGATTATGTATCGAAAGGAGTGTCGAGCCAGGTGCATCATACTTACACATAGGACATAAAGTTCAAACAGTAATGCAAGTGGACTACTTGCAATGTCATTAGTGTATCACCCTTAAAGTTAACCCATATATGAAGTGACCGTTAAATGTGATCCTAGTTCTGTTCTACTCCATTAGATACAGTAATAGTCAATACATTCTTGATGAAGAGATGTCGACTTATGTCTTCTAGGTATTCTGTTGAATATCTCACAGTCTACAGAGAACGTCACTAGACGTTGCGCAAACATTCCTGTAACGTCATCATGGCGCCAGAAGGATTTCACAAGGGCAGAGCAAATGTTTCAGGTAGTTGTTATTGTATTCTCTGGATGGCCTGGTCGTATCAGTTGGATGGTCGGATGTTATCAGTTTGAAGGTCTGTTGGTATTGGGATGGTTAGATGTCGGTAGGCGTCGTTGCATGATACGGCCCCAGATGTCTAGACCAGATCACATGCAGCATGTGAGTGTAGCACTCTCTTCCACGCATGGTGTTCCTGGTATTGAATGTACCATCTCATATATAGACAAACCAGTACTCTCGATGTAAACCAGTACTTTCAGTACGATTAAGTATGAACCAGCTAGAACCAGGAGTATCACTCACAACCAGTAGTGAGTGAGTGAGTGAGTGAGTATGGTTTTATGCCGCTTTCAGCAATATTCCAGCAATGTCGCGTCGAGGGACACCGGAGTTAGAGCCAATACTCTAGGTATGAACCAGTACTGTCAGTACGGGCAAGTTTTTTAGTATTTTGAGCATGAGGTGCTACTCACGTGGGACCACTCGGAGACATTCCACATGGACTTGCAGTGTATGTTGGGGCACTCGCTGAGGGCGAGGGGCTTCAGGGTGACGTTACAGTACCGCTCCTCCACCGCCGAGCTGTTGTCCAGGCGGACACACTTCACCCGCCGTCGGTGGATGGCGTAACTCTCCCGAACACAGCTGTCTATGCCGCACTGAAACATGTAGCATACGTCAGTCTATACCGCACTGAAACATGGAGACATACAGTTGTCTTAACCGCACTGAAACATGTAGCATACGTCAGTCTATACCGCACTGAAACATGGAGACATACAGTTGTCTTTACCGCACTGAAACATGGAGACATACAGTTGTCTTTACCGCACTGAAACATGGAGGCATATGTCAGTCTATGCCCAACTGAAACATGGAAACATAAAGCTGTTCATACCGCACTGAAACATGGAAACATACGTCAATCTATGCCGCCCTGAAACATGTAACATACGTTAGTCTATACCGTACTGAAATTTGGAAACATTCGTATGTCTATACCGCACTGAAAGATGTCAATACTGTACTGAAACATAAAGGCACACACGTATTGATACCCCCTGAAACTTGGAGACACACACCTATCTATACTCAACTTTAAGACATGGGTACACCATTTCACTGAAACTCATTTCCGGTACACAACTAAAACCACGTGATACTGTTGAACTTACGTCTGACCAGTTGCCCGATGTCCATGTCACGCAGGGATCAACGTTGCACTCCTCCTTGCCCGGAGGCACGTGCAGGGTGGCGCCCCGGCACACCTTGAGGGGGAACTCCTCGAAATAGTCATTGGTGATGATCTCACAGCTGACGTTACGTTCCCTTATTCCGCCATTGCACCTGGCGGAACACCGTGTCCATTCGCTCACTACGATCTGCAAAGCCTTCTGCTTCCTATCAAAAGGGTCTTTATATAATGCTGAATTAACGGCCTGGGAGCCATCTGACAGGTATCCGAGAAGATACTTCTCTCTAACTACCGTCTGTCTTAAAAGGTCAAGGACGTTGCTAAACACTATTGTCAGGTTAGAGATGGCGTGGTTTGCTCTGCACGTGTAAACACCAGCATCCCTTTCTGGACGACCTTTACGAATTCTAAGATTTCCTTTTTTGGAAACGTTCACCCGTCGGCCATTTCGAATGCGTCGCCCGTTTCTATACCACTCCAACTTACGCTTGTTGAAGCCTTTCACTGGGCACTTGGCTATAACAGACGTTCCAGGCAAGATGGCGGCATTTGATCCGATGAGAAGACGCACCTTCTTCATTTTATTAAGCTGAAAGAATCTGAGCTGTTGCTCCTTGATTCTTATTTCAGGACAGACGCTCAGGTTGCAGGGTTTCTCGGAGTGAGGCCGGTCACTGGGCCGACATTCCATGTAGGTGACGAGGGTGGTCCTCTCTTCGGCCGACTTCCGCTGACACGTCACCTTCCGGCTGATGATGCCCGCGCCGCACGTCACTGAACACTGCAGGAGGAGATGCATCATACAAATTATCGTCAGCGCATTGATGATTTGTTTGTTTGTTGTTTAGCAATATTCCAGCTATATTCCAGTATGTACATAATCGAGTCTGGGCCAGACGATCCAGTGATTTACATCATGAGCATCGATCTACTCAATTGGGATACCATGACATGCACCAACCGAGCCTGACCACCCGATCCCGTTAGTCGCCTCTTATGGCAAGAATGGGTTGCTGAAGACCTATTCTACCCCGGATCTTTACGGGTCAATATCGTTTAGATACATCAGGTGTGGACACTCCAAGGAGGCACTTAAAAACCTGTTTTCTACGTCACATATATTTACGGACAGGTTCAACGAACTGGTTTAACTTGTAAATATTTATGCCATTATTTTCCGTACCCAAATCCGAAAAGCCCACTCAACAACCAGTATATCGAACGTTTTTTTCCTATATGTTACTATGTTTCAATGACTAGTCCTAGTCTATATAATGACATTATTAACACCCTCGTGACATCGAGCTATTTAACAACTGTAACTATGTGTTGCGAGAGAGATGTTCAAACATCATAAAGTGCTCACTGTCGTGGGAAAACCCAGCCCAACAATAACGCATTGTCAGCCCCAGTCTCGCAGTTTGGGCGAGGTCTGACATAAGAAGTGTCCTTTATAATACAAAACCATCCCAAACCGTATTGACATCGTGAATACAAAGGAGTCCGACGTTCTCATTCAAATACTTAAGGTATATACTTGAGTATTGTTGTGCGGCGCCAGGCAACAAACAAACACGTACTTTTTTATGCAAATTATGTGAGTGGTGGGTGCTAAATTATGTAGGTGGTAGAACAGGACATGCTTACCCTTCTCGTGAACACCGGGTGTCATCACTCATTTTCAGTGATCCATTCATATCAATTTCATCGTTATTTTGCCTTTTACTCTCAATGGAATCTGTTTCAGCAGATAAATCAAGACTGATTTCAATCTGGCGCTGACGTTTTGCCCTTTGACTACCAAACGCCCAAAGTTCATTATTTGATCAGAATTCAATAGTGTCTGTAACATCAGGTGTGATTGGTTCTACAGAGAGCGGGCGACGGGATAGCCTAGTGGTTAAAGCGTTCGCTCGTCACGCCGAAGACCCGGGTTCGATTCCCCACATGGGTACAATGTATGAAGCCCATTTTTGGTGTCCCTCGCCGTGATATTTCTGGAATATAGCGGCGAAAAACTATACTCACTCACTCACTAATCTACAGAGAGCTGCCTGTGTACCCACCCTCTCCCAGTCTCCCACGACCCAGTCGGCGGGACAGTCCTGGTTGTTACACCCCCGCTCTCTCTCCGGGACAGGCTGCTGACACATGACGTCAGGGAGGCGGAGGACCTTCTCCGGCCCCAGGGCGACCACCTGTATACACGTGACACTCCGGTTCATGACCCCGCCGCCGCACGTGCTGGAACACATGCTGAAGTCGCCGATGCGCCACCTGTCAACAGAATAAGTTGAGTTGAAGACTGTACCAAATGAACTGAATAAAAAAAAAATGAGATGAAGAGTGGGAAGAGACCCAAACGTGAAGCATATTGCAACCAGGGCCGGTGGGGTAGCCTAGTGGTTAAAGTGATCGCTCGTCACGCCGAAGACCCGGGTTCGATTCCCCACATGGGTTGAATGTGTGAAGCCCATTTCTGGTGTTTCCCGCCGTGATATTGCTAGAATATTGCTTGAAGCGGCGTAAAAAATAATCACTCATATTGCAGCCAATAACTATTTAGGTGAAAGTCACTCGGTAGCGACTGGATGCCATGGGTCGCAATCAGGGGGAACAGTAGCGGATCCTGGCACGGATAAGTAACGCAACTCACAGATCTCTGGACAACACTGACACCACAATAATTTCAATTGTACGCTGCTTTAAAACCATTCCAGAAATACCACGGTATACTATGAATGAGCTTACCATTTCACCATTTTGGGGATTCGAACAGAACTTCGGCGTCATAAACAAACGTGTTAACCAGTAGACTACCTAACGCCATATCTAAGACGGAGATGAATAGAGGTTATTCCTTTAGTGGGCGCGACGGTGGTGACAGATGGGTCTGGGTTAGAAGATGGGTGGCCCCGACAGGTGGGAATCCGTGTTAATGGGGGACAGGGTTAAGTGTCGGGACTATAAGAGGCGATCTATTATCAGTTGATTATCTTTCACAATGAAAGTTTCATTATCTACGAGACCACAATCCCCGAGACGACCCACGTAAGCCGTGTAGTTATTACTCATATTACAGATGGCTGAAACAGATAACCCCTGTCTCCTCCCACTGCAGCATAGATGGGTCACTGTCGAGGCCGGTCATGGCCAGGAGCTATATGAGACCCAGTGTGCCTGTCATGTGGAAATATGGTGTTGAACAAAATGCCAAAATGGAATGTCATAAACTGGTGAGTTGAAACATTCCATATCGGGGAATATGAATGTCAAAATTATTTTTTTCAACAATGTATATACTTTATGATAAGTATGAAAAGTGATTGATGCATAGCCAGCGTGCAGTTTGTCAACATACGGACCCATTGTCCACTTAACGAACGTGAGGGTAATTCTATGGAATTCTAGAAGGGACATTGTCGCGTTGTCGCCCTTGCAAAACCAAGCAAAAAGTAACTAAGTATTAACCAAAACGCGACAATGCGACAATTTTGACAATTTGAGTGATATTTTTGGTTTTTATCAAAGGGCGACAATGCGTTATTTTTCAAGGTCTGTCGCGTTGTCGCATCATCTAACTTATGTATAGACGGCGTGATCGGCCTTTCATAAGTAAGGTAGCGGTCGGGTAGCCTAGTGATTAAAGCGTTTGCTCGTCACGCCGAAGACCCGGGTTCGATTCCCGACATGGGTACAATGTGTGAAGCCCCTTCTGGTGTCCCCCGCCGTGATATTGCTGGAAAAATACTATAAGCGGCGTAAAATCATACTCACTCACTTCATAAGTAAGAATAGTCCATTGGATATATCTATGTTTCCATTTCTGACACGCGCACGTCAGAGACAGACTATGCCCAAATCACAAAGTAAACATAAACAAAATAACAATAACAATAATAATAATAAATCATTTTTATGATTGAATTTACTCTCCCTTTTGACACCAATGTGATTGACAAGATTCAGGAAAACCATGGCAAAAATGCGGACCACGCTTGCATCCCAAGTATCAAATTCTTCGACTCCCCATTGTTTTCGGTGCCTTAGGTTTGGTACCTCCCAATCTGTTGACTGACATTGGGAGAGTACCCGGGTTTGCTGCCAGAAGTACAGTACAGCCCTTCCGACACTCTGTGTAATGCAGAAGGCTGCAGTATTGGGTAGTCGTCACATTCTCCGAAAAGTTCTGGGTGGGTTTGACTAGAGAGCGCTTCCTGGGAGAAGTCACACTCGTTGTCTGGGCTGCGTGTAGAGGGGGCAAGGGCCTTGAGCTGAAGATGAGCCTAACCAGCCTGACTGTGCCAAGATCCCCCAAACCCTCTGCTGTAAATGCCATGTATGATCAAATATGTCTTGAATCTGGATCGGGACAAACGGTGTGCCACCACATTTTTTTATTGGTTCCATCCGGCTCCATTGCTAAGTTTAGAGCATGAATGGCGCCTCGCCGTGGCCTACAATGAACCGTGGGAGTGCTGATTGGGACCAGTGTACCAACATCCATCAGTCATTGTGTTTTATACTAAATGCACCTCATACATTATATATACACCCATATGTTAAATATCCATGATAATTTCTATTATTTGCCGCGGCTATTAACACGGAGGTAAGATCTACCTATAGGAAAGACCGAGATTTAAGCCACAATACAAAACACAACAGATGCTCGTTTCCATTAACACAACGCGGTGTAGACCGATTTTCCCAGAACAATAAAACAAATACCTTTGCAGGGCAATAATTGACACTTTTCACGACATTTATTTCAAAAATATATTTAACAATAGCCGTGGTATTTGGAAGACGCGCACCGTGGTCGCACGTGTGTTTTTAATTCCCCTTGTCAACATTGAAGCGAGGTGCGGTAATGACTTCCATGGTAAGGGTCTGAGGCTGGATTCTTCTCAACGGCTAACACGTGGGCTCTGATGTTAGAGACTTGAAAGTGAGGGAACGGCATCATAGCACAGATGGAAGGAGTTTCTTGTCATACCAAACACTGCTGAGAACCAATTGTCCTTTCTACTTGGGATCACGCTCGCGGTTTTAACATCATTAGACGACTGTACTGGGTGATACACAGCAGTTTAACAGTGCGATACACTGATGTTACAGTTACACCTTCACAGCCCACCTGTAGCTGTTGATGCAAGAAAACAAAGACTACACCAATATCAATCTCATTAAAATCAGATCTTAATGCTCGCTACCGCTTCACATAGATCTGAGGACATTCCCATTCCGTCAGAAAACCCTTCGCGATCTTTCACATATTAATAAAATGACATAAGCCAAAGCAGCTTTCTGGTACTCTACGGAAACTGTTTAAAACTGACGATTTCCATTCTAGATTAGCTTTGAAAAAAGATTCAAAATATGAAATTGAAAAAAAGAAAATTCTGGAATGTCTGGATTGTGTACTTCTCACATGCTGTGGAACGTCTCTTTGCGTTTCAAATGTTGATCCCATTGAAGCGAGCGATAGACGATGTTTTTGACGGACTCAGTCGTAGAGTCCACTACTTTCGTTCGGAATACCCCTTGTTAGCCTTTTCGAGGTTGCATGATTAGAAAACACACTCCGACTGTCACTTTTCTGATCTGGTAAGCGACGTCCTGATTGATCGGGTGAAAGGTCGTTATGACGTGAACGTAGATATATCCTCAAAACTTTGTTTAGCGGTAGCGAGAACTAAGATCTGATTTTAATGAGCTTGCACCAACATCAATCCTGAGGAGAGCAGTTTCAGTATCTGGGAGAGATGATATATGCCTTCTAGATTACCCTGGCCAAAATATATAGCCAGATATATCCCCCAACATCTGCCCCACTACATGCTATGAGACTTACGCTGCCTATCGGACATGGGGGGCATATGCCTCAATGTTTTCTGATGTCTTCATGAGTGGACATTGGTCGCCTCATGATTTCCATCCGTAAGGGGGTTGGTGAGGTTACCTAGTAGTTACAAGCGTTGGTTCGTTACGTAGGGGACCGGGTTCGACTCCCACAAGGGTACACTGAATGAAGGCCTGAGCTCCGTTTCACAAAACGATCTTAGCTCTACTACAGTGGAAGGTCCATAATAGAGTAGAGGAGGTGAGTGAGTGAGTGAGTGAATATTGTTTTACGCCGCTTTTAGCAATATTTCACTAATATCACGGCGGGGGACACCAAAAATGGGCTTCACACATTGTACCCATGTCGGGAATCGAACCCGGGTCTTCGGCGTGACGAGCGAACGCTTTAACCACTAGGCTACCCGACCGCCCCAGTAGAGGAGGTAGGTCGTCCTAGCGCTAAGATCGCTTTGTGGAACGTACCTCTTGTGTCCATATGCCATCATATGTCTTGGATATTACCAAAAGAGGCGTAACCTCACTCACTCATTCCGGAAGGGCCAACAATGTGCTGGACGTCGTCTTCGCTAGGCAAGGGAATTAACTGGCTATAAAAGTCAGTTTCCACCCTTGCCGAACTTGACTGGAATTATAGAGTCATATAATTGGCTGGACTAACGAGTCTATGCCTAGCCCAATTAAAATCGCGTAATGACATCGACATCCGGATTGAAAACTGCTGTGCGTATTTCGGCCGATTACAGAATTTGCCAAGCATGTGTACCGCCAACTCGGCGTCGACAGATATTTTCCAAATCTTTTCATGTTTTTAATTAAGGTGCTCACGTGAGTGGATGCACTTCACGAAGTGAGACCCTTTATGTTACAAAAAACCGAGTGGATCGTCTTAATTGGGCGCCGCCATTATGTTTGATGCAAATGCAATGATATGAGAGGTGGAATCTGGTTGGTCAATTGGAGGGACCTCGAAGGCACATAACTCGTAATAACCACTGGTGGTGCTACAATCGAGCCCATAAATTCCAACCACGTTCGGCAAGGGTGGAAACCGGACTTTTACAGTCAGTTATTGGCAAGGGTGGAAACTGGACTTTTACAGTCAGTTAATGGCAAGGGTGGAAACCGGACTTTTACAGTCAGTTATTGGCAAGGATGGAAACTGGACTTTTACAGTCAGTTTATGGCAAGGATGGAAACTTGACTTTTACAGTCAGTTAACTCTCTTGCCTCTGGACGATGGGGCAACGTACGTCATTGCATACTTTCCCTCGTGTGCCTGTTATTTATTACTTGACATTCTGCTACTATTGAGTCCTCCTTACCTTTGAGGGCACGGCACATCATTACACACTCTCCGTGTGATGGGGACCTGGGCGGCCCTCTCGCAGTACTCCTGTCCTACAACACTGCCGTTCTCCTTGTGGATACACTGCAGCATCGTCTCTTGGGTACCTGCAGCAGATCAGGGTCACGTGGTCCTACAGAGGGGTCAACTAGGGGACTACACCAGTCCCATAATACATCGTGAGTGAGTGAAAGCTGAATTATGCTGCAGTCAGCAATATTTCAGCTATGTCCCATTGGTCACTGAACAATCGAGTGTGGGCTTGGCAAAACGGTTGTTGATAGAATGAGAAATGACCCACGTTGGGACACGATGACTCACAACCAGACAGGTCACACACTGAACCCGTTCGAACCTCATTGGTCTCCTGTTATGACTTTTATAGAGTACCGCGGACACTGCTCGAGCATCGCCACTGGGATATGAAACACCGCGTATGTATATAATATCATTTGTGAAAACATACATTTGCCTCATCACGGCATAACAGTAACAGAATACGTGAAGTGTTCCAAAAGTGGACTGTAACCTGCGTCAGGATGATTTATTTGTTTGTTTGTTTGCTGTTTAACGCCACACTCTAATATTCCAGCTATATGACGGCAGTCTGTAAATAATCATTTCTGGACCAGACAATCCAGTGATTGATATCCTGAGCATCGATCCACGCAATTGGGATACGAAAATCAGCGAGTCTGACCACCCGATCCCGTTAGTCGCCTCTTACGACAAGCATAGCCGTCAGTATGAGATACTGCATGCTACAGAGTACTGTACCTCCCAGACAGCTCCTGCTACAGAGTACTGTACCTCCCAGACAGCTCATACTACAGAGTACTGTACCTCCCAGACAGCTCCTGCTACAGAGTACTGTACCTCCCAGGCAGCTCAGACTACAGAGTACTGTACCTCCCAGACAGCTCCTGCTACAGAGTACTGTACCTCCCAGGCAGCTCAGACTACAGAGTACTGTACCTCCCAGACAGCTCCTGCTACAGAGTACTGTACCTCCCAGGCAGCTCATACTACAGAGTACTGTACCTCCCAGACAGCTCCTGCTACAGAGTACTGTACCTCCCAGGCAGCTCAGACTACAGTGTACTGTACCTCCCAGACAGCTCCTGCTACAGAGTACTGTACCTCCCAGGCAGCTCAGACTACAGAGTACTGTACCTCCCAGACAGCTCCTGCTACAGAGTACTGTACCTCCCAGGCAGCTCATGCTACAGAGTACTGTACCTCCCAGACAGCTCCTGCTACAGAGTACTGTACCTCCCAGGCAGCTCATACTACAGAGTACTGTACCTCCCAGACAGCTCCTGCTACAGAGTACTGTACCTCCCAGGCAGCTCATACTACAGAGTACTGTACCTCCCAGACAGCTCCTGCTACAGAGTACTGTACCTCCCAGGCAGCTCATACAACAGGGTACTGTACCTCCCAGACAGCTCCTGCTACACGTGGTTAGCCCTACTGCTCTCAGCTCGTAGTTGTCATAGCACGGCTCCAGCATGCATGGCTCCTCGGCTGGCGGCTTGGGATCTGGAAACAAAGGACAACATCTTAAAACGCAGCAAACAATGGAGCCAAAAGACCAACGCCCATCAACTGATATTCAAAGTCTCTGTATCTTTAAAATGGCATCGTGCTTAAACGCGGAATTACCAGATGCCCTGATCCCAGACATTGGCTCTTCGACTGACGCAACTCGTTCACATACGACTTGTCTCGCTTCGTGAGCGTCATACGACGCTTGCTCAAAAGGTGTTTGATCAGGGTTAATTACATCATTCAAGGGAGTAAAACTTCCAAAAACATTTTATGGTAGACGCCATGTTTACCATGTGGAGGACGTTTTCAAATATGACCCATCAGTGACCATAATATTTCCGTGTTTTTTTCGGTGAAAACTTGCCTTGCATGTGTTTGTAACGGTAACGTGTGCCACCGGTGGGTCAGGATATGCTGATCTTTTCCCCAATATCTGGTATCATCACTATTTGATAGTGATTCATAACACATTTCTTATAATACAGTAGAATCGGATAGGACTGCGGTAGAGATTCCTGATGATAATTTATGACAACGAATTAACCGTTACAACACCTAGTTTTGTAAATAACCCATATGAAAAAAATAAGAAAATAAATATATTTAGGAGCCAGTAGCAAAAAATAATAAAAAAGTAAATATATTTATTTATAGATAGTACTACAGAAGCATAATGACCAATTTTCGTCATCCAGGCAGCATAAGTGTTACTTTTCTATTAGATACCACGACACATTTTAGAGCGTAGGGTAGAACGTGAACGGAAGGCAGCGTGCATGAACGCAGGGGATTCGTCTAGTCGTCTGGTGTTAATGTTTGAAATATTATTTTCTAATCTAGAAGCCCATATTTGGTCAATACGAGACACTGGAGGTAATGAGTCATGTTTAATGCTGCTTTGAACAGTAGGCCAGTTAAATCACGACGTGGCAGAAAAGTGTTTAGGGAAGTCGGAAGTGACGTAGACGTTTACCCCTATGGCGAGGGGGCTGATATACCAAGGGCAACTCTAGATCATATAATCCTGGCATGACTAAGGGACGCAACTCTGTATCGCGGCGCAAAGAACCACTGGGGTGCCCTGTGCTTCCGACACAATACCTATGGCATGTAACGATGCAGCATAGCCAGCGAACGTGACACGTGTCCCTCACTCACTCGTCTACAAGGTATCTATATTTTCTAAGGCATGTATGACAGTGAGACTGCACGTGAGCAATCCCGCTGCCAGCGTGAGATGGCGAGATCTATGCAGCATCTGACCTATATATGCTCGACATTCAACAATGAGAAACCTGATACGTACAACAGATGCCTGTCAAGAATGTTGTGATCTCCACAGACATTGCAGTGGAGTCGGACAGCTTCGTCCCAGAAAGGCGTGTGACCGTGGCCGCGAGTCTTTGTGAGACGTACCTCACGCGGAAAATCTCCCCTGACATCACATAGAGAGTTCACGATTTAACTTGAATTCTTAGCTTCAAATCGAGGTGACAGAGAAAATTCCCAGAAGTTTATTAAATTACACTTAATCAGCCATACTCGGAGTTATGTGGAAGAAAAACATGACCTTGGTAATCCGACACCTTCTCTTATGTGGTCTGATTGACTCAAGTTTGGTATTTCCAGCCTATACAAGACACGAGCTGATCGCCGCGGGAGAGTCTTGTATGGCTTGGGGTTCGGCATGTGGAAAATTTACCTGCCTTGGGTTTAAAATCACATTCAGTGGTAATGATAGGATTTCGTTGGTTGGTTTGTTGTTTAACGCCGCACTCAGCAATATTCCAGCTATATGACGGCAGTCTGTAAATAATCGAGTCTGGACCAGACAATCCAGTGATTAATATCATGAGCATCGATCCACGCAATTGGAATCGATGACATGCATCAACCAAGTCAGCGAGCCTGACCACCCGATCCCGTTAGTCGCCTTTTACGACAAGCATAGTCACCTTTTACGGCAAGCATGGGTTGCTGAAGACCTATTCTACCCCGGAATCTTCACGGGTCGGTAATGATAGGAAACGAATCAGACATGAAATATGTTGATGCGATTTTAAATAAGAGTCATTAGGAGATGACATATCCCCCGATCTGGTGCATTTCAGTTTGGCTACTTGCATCCCACATTTCGTTCATTGCCATTGGATACCTTTAGTTCAGTAAAGAAAAATATAAAAGTGTTCATTATTTTTCAATATTCCAAATTATCAAAAGATACCAGTTCACCGTCAGACTGATCTGTTTAGCAAGTTTCATCAAGAAATAGTCAACGGTTTTGGAGTTCTGCACCGGAAACGAGTACTACCCTCTTTTTCAGTGAGGTCCAATTCTCGTTATGGAAGAAAAACAACCCAAATCATCAAAAGGTACCATTTCACGACTAGACTGATCTGTACGGCAAGTTTCAACAAGAAATATTTAACGGTTTAGGAGTTATGGAAACGGAAAACAGACGGACGGACATGTTGATCGCTATAATCCCCGTTTTTCAAAATGGGGAAAAAATGATTATACTTATGATGTATTTAGTGTTGAAATACTGCAATACTATATTTGAATTATTTCACATTTTCGTAATGATAAACACTAATGAGTCGCAGTAATATGTAGACAAACCTTATCTGGAGGTGCCACATGTAGTCATCACATTTGTTTGGAGATAGACATAATTAATATACTCTCACAAATTTCATACTAACCCTTTTTGTTGACAAACATCTACTTGACAATCCCGATTTACCGTAAACATCGCAGTGCAGATGTATTAATGACTTTTTATTAGATATTCGCAATTTTTAAAACGTTAAATAAATAAATAAATAAATATATAAATAAATGTTATTAACAGATATTCGCAATTTCTGAAACGTTAATTAAATAAATAATTAAATTAATTTTAGTAACATATACTCGCAATTCTTAAAACGATAATTAAATATATGATCAGATTAGTTTAAGTAACAGTTTACAAAACGTCTTCTTTACATAACTGCAATAATTATACATTTACGTTAAAATACTATGAAAAGTAATAACAGTAAAATTATTTTTTACATAGATCTAGCAATCAAGGTCACAGTCTACAGAGTCGATCTCCTTGTGTTAAACGGTTGCCTCTGAATCACAAGGGATACAGACTACACTATTTGACCCGCCTCTGTGGGTGGTGTACATTTCTGTCCATACTATCAGTATTTTATTCATATCATTGTCTGAATAAACCAAGAAAACATAAGCTTCCCCGTCCCATCATCGCAAGCAGCCGATACCTGTAATCATAGCCGGCTGGGTCATTTAACGTGGCCATTCTCACGTTTCGATGTTTATGTTACCCCTACAAACCGAGTATCCCCGAGCATCGTTTAAAACATGATAGAGCCATAGGAAAATAGTTAGTGGGTAAATGCTCACTGGTCACATTGTATAGACCCCTGCTCCCCTGGGCTGGGTCTCGTATGACGGGTTAGAGAGTCAGCTCTCAGCGAGAAGGGCACGGTATGTTTAGGTAACCCTTCATACCGCCATGGCTCGTAATCGTTTAGTTTTTTTGGCCGGAGGTGTGTACTAACAAGTCTGACATTGCCCAACTTCAGAGAGGAACTCATCCTGTGTTGCTTGAGGACAAAGGCAAAGGTGGTAATTGTGTTGTGTAAACGCGCCAAGGAAATCTGAAAATATTTAGGGATGAAACAGCAAGGAGCCAAAACAGATTCTGAACAGCTTTCATGACACTGGTTTGACGAGTCATTGAACGAACGACTTCGATGGGCGAAATGGTATTTGCTTCACTGGAACGCTCTGTCATGCCATTAGTTCAAACACGTGAATACTTTGATGGAACTCTGGGTATGCAGAGGGAATTCCCTCCTATATTTGGCAAGGCTGTGTTATGTGCTGGTTCATATCACATAACTCTCTTCCGTGTCTACCTTGTACCCTTGGAACACAGGCATATTAGAGTCAGATTCTGAGACATCGAGATTTAGGCGATGCCAAAGAAAGGTGAAGTATGCCTACTTTTCTGGTTCGATGATAGTGTGATTGTCAAAGAACTCTAATAACACGGGAATCCGACAGCTGAACTTGAACCAAAGCTGTTCGAGTCGTAGTAGTACACCTCATTATTTGACCTACAGTTAGGGGTGTGCTTTAGTAGATTTATTTCTGACTCGCTGAATGGAGTGGAACAGTGTGTGGAACTGTCTCAGTGTGCCCTCCCAGCACCGCCCACAAGCAATGGCCCACACAAAAACGTACCATAATCTTGTGTAGGTCCTTGTTGGTTGACCAACATCCGTACCCTAACCATCTTCCCGAGGCAAGCGAGTTAACTGACTTTAAAAGTCCAGTTTCCACCCTTGCCGAATAAGGCAGGAATTCCTGGGCTAGATCGTAGCGCCACCGGTGGCTGTGACGAGTTATGTCCCTTCTATGCCTCTCCTATGGACCAATTAGATTCCACCTCTCGTATCACTTGCATTTGCTTCAAACAAAATGGCGGCGCCCAGTCAAGACGATCTGATCGACAATCAAGATCTATGTTGTCATAAAACGGCTCTTACATCGCGAAGTGCATCAAATCACGTGAGCACCTTGATTAAAAACTTGAAACGATTTGGACAATATCTGTTGACATATCCTGTAATCGACCGAACTCTGCATGACAGTTTACGAACCGGTGCGGGATTTTGATTGGACTATGCATAGATTCGTTAGTCCAGCTAAAATCTTACTCCATAATACCAGTCTTGTTCGGCAAAGGGGGAAACTGGACTTTCATAGTCAATTAACTCTCCTGCCTCGGGAAGATGACCCTAAACGTGCGATACAGGGATCTAGTTAATGGTCAAGTCACAAACAAAGGCTGGTCAGATCTGCGACTACTTTTTACAAACAGTGTGTGGTTTTAACAGATATTAACCCTTGCACATGGAGTGGGGATCTGGTAAGATCTCTTAGTATCGTGTTTCTTGCTACATCTATGACCATCCTTGACCAATAGGGCGTGGTTATAACCGGATCTATGGCTACCCGCTGACACACGGGGCGTGGTTCTAGCAAGACCTGTGACTATCCCTGACCCATAGAGCGTGGTTCTACCCAGATCTATGACTGTCCTTGACCAATAGGGCGTGGTTATAACTGAATCTATGGCTACCCCCTGACACATGGGGCGTGGTTCTAGCCAGACCTGTGACTATCCCTGACCCATAGAGCGTGGTTCTACCCAGATCTATGACTGTCCTTGACCAATAGGGCGTGGCTCTAACCCGACCTATAGCTGCCCCCTGACACACGGGCGTAGTTCTAGCCAGATCTGTGACTATCCCTGACCCATAGAGCGTGGTTCTACCCAGATCTATAACTGTCCTTGACCAATAGGGCGTGGTTCTAACCAGATCTATGGCTGCCCCCTGACAGAGGGGCGGGGTTCTAGCCAGACCTGTGACTTTCTCCGACACACGGGGCGTGGTTCTACCCAGATCTATAACTGTCCTTGACCAATAGGGCTTGGTTCTAACCAGATCTATGGCTGCCCCCTGACACAGGGGCGTGGTTCTAGCCAGATCTGTGACTATCCCCGACACATGGGGCGTGGTTCAACCCAGATCTATGACTGTCCTTGACCAATAGGGCGTAGTTCTAGCCAGATCTGTGACTATCCCTGACCCATAGACGTGGTTCTAGCCAAATCCATGACTATCCGCGACACATAGGGCGTGGTTCTAGCCAGATCTGTGACTATCCCTGTAACTTTGCGCCTACCTAGGTATGCCACATACACACATGGCCGTAGAGCTCTAATCATCTACAGTAGGTGAGCGGTGTCAGGGTCCGGCATTGTGGCCACCAGTGTGGGGGGGTTGGTGGAACACACAGATGCGATGCCACGGTCCACACACGACTCCCCCTCTCTATTGTTGGCCGACTGACAGCCGATACCTGCCACAAACAGGGACAGATTCTTCTGCTTCCCGGGAATAACGCCCCTGCTTTGGGAGATGATCGACAGCATTACAAAAATGACACAGCAGAATCCTCTTCAATTGGTAGGATCATAGCATTTCCATCACAACACAGTCTTAATAGCTACGCGCTTGAACTAAAACACCGTCTGTATAATATATATTTCAAAATCGGTTTTGTTATAATACCTGGATATGATTTACTAGGGCGCGTGTGGGGCTGTTGGCGTCCTCTTTCACAGAGACATATTATTACACTCGTTATTCAATTTAAATCTTCAGTCTGAGGAGGGTTGTTGCATTATGAAGTTTAATCTTCAGCATGGGTGTGGGCGTGGTTGTGGTGCCACTTCACACTATACACGAGTAATTCAATAACAAAAACTCATTGTCAATGGGGGTCAACATGCCACTTCCCATACCTTTGAGGGGGTCGAATCCCATGCCCTGCCCCCCTCAACCTCTGCCGCTTTAAACACATATCAACGACAGCGGTTTTTTTATGTTGCTTTCCTTATGATTTACCCTTACTTCAAATAATAACTTAAATACTTCGGCAACCATTATGACCTAAGCCCAAAACGATCATGCTGTCCGACTCTAAACGCCCTTATAACGCTCATTAGGACGTCTCCAAACTCGATTACTTCGGTCACTAAAAACACTTGCTTGTCATTCACAAAGTGCTCTCAAGGCACAGGACAGGCTCAGTTCCAACAAGGATTTTGTCGGTAATACATTTCATGATTGTATTTCATTTTACATTTGTAGACAATCGTTGCCGTCAAAGTACTGATTTTACAAAATTGACGTACATGTTTAAAGCGAACTGAACCCCCGCACGATACAACTCCAGTCAATCTCTAGTTCGGTCTGGTAAAGGTCTAGAATTTAGTCACTATATGTTCACACAAAGATAGCAAGGTTAATATAAAGTGGCAAGGAATCTCGTGTCATGGAATTTCCATGGCTCGTATTTTAAATATTTCACAATTTGGGATACGCTCGTGTCAGACGCGTCAAGACACATAAATCTCGCGGTTAGAGGAGTCGTGTTTTCCTTCTCGTGATGCACGTGCAGGCATGTGACACGTGATGCCATGATTGTTGATTTATCGTGTATATCTTTGCCAAACTGAAGTTCTCACATACATAACTTGCCACTTTGTTTTAAAAATGAAATGCAAGTGCTCTGAAGCTGATAGCGTGTGAAGTATTTCACGTAAAGGAAAAGGTGCCATTAATTATTGAACAGTTAGCTATGGATCATTTATAATTGTGGCGTGGTTCTGGAGGGGGGAGCGGGTGATGTATCACATTTTTGTGACCCCCAGTTTTATATATATATATATATATATATATATATATATATATATATATATATATATATATATACATATATATATATATATATATATATATAACTCCTGGAATTTATTTTATCCGCCGTCCAATGTGCGCATTTATTCTCTTTTGAGCGAGTGAGTGGGTGAGTGAGTGAGCGAGCGAGCGAGTGAGTGAGTGGGTGAGTGAGTGAGTGAGCAACTTATCGGCTGTATCATAGCGACCTTGATAATCAAGACAACAAGTGGAAAGGGGGGTGGGGGCACTGCATCTTGATTCCAAACTTTACCAAGACACGGATTTAAAAGATGTATCTTCATCAGTATGAAAGGTTAATGTTATTTCTTAGACAAACATAAAGTCCCGGAAATTTAATAACGTAGAAGGTTTAAATATAAATAATTGTATAAAGGATGGCTAAAGTATTTAGGAACATGAAGTCTCTCATTTTCTAGATCTCCAAGAGTCGAAATTAGGGTAGACTGATGGAGCTGAGAAGGGGATGAGTGAGTGAGGATGTGGATGAATCAGAATGAATAATAGAGATGAGCTACCTCCATTGGTTACAACAACTAATATAGTGATATTCCATGACCAGTGGCCAACTTTCATCTAGATTGGCTCTCCCTGGCCATTGCGCCAGAGCTTTAGTTATGATCTCACACACCTTGATAACCCAGTCCAAATTGTCCAAAACACACGCCTTCACTGATAAAACAGTTCCCCGTGCCACACCTGGCACTAATACATGGGTCTAGACAGACATTGTGAGAAGTAGCCAGACCATGGAGAAGACATCTAAATACAGAAACTTACAACATTAAACTCACTTGGACAGTTGCTTGCCAAATTTACCACACGCCTCTAATGTTTTCGTGTTCTTTGTTTCATGTTTGGCAAGAGAAGGAATAGTGTGAATATTTCATAATGTCATGACGTTTCTGTTCGTTTGAAGTAATTTTTCACGAAACTAGAAGAAAATGGCAACAGAAATATTACATACAACAATGCATATCCAGTCTGATAACATCACCTAATGATCGGGGACTGCGTGCTTACTACAACCTCAAAACAAATAAAGTACTTGCCTCTAACTAACATATAGATAAGGTTTTAAACTTTAATGGGCGAGTGTTGATAAATCGTTATTATGAATAAAAGTTGTCCAAGCTTTTCAGTTTGTAAACAGGCATAAAGAGTGACTCGGAGTGTAAAAAGAATAGCTTCAGTGGCAAAGAGATTAGTGATGACATTTAACCGATGGTCCGTAAATCAATGATGTTTGTTGTTTAACGCCGCGCTCAGCAATATTCTAGCTAAAAGACGGCGGTCTGTAAAAAATCGAGTCTGGACCAGACAATCCAGTGATTGACATCATGAACATCGATCCACGCAATTGAGATACGATGACATGCATCAACCAGGTCAGCGAGTCTGACTACCCGATCCCGTTTGTCACCTTTTACGACAAGCATGCGTTGCTGAAGACCTATTCTACCCCTGATCTTCACGGGTCTGTAAAGCAACGCGCTGTAAGGTCATGGTAGTGTTATCGTCTTGGAGATACCGCTTGAACTTACCATGCGATTTTTCCCGTGGAAGCCAGTCTTAGAAGGAAAAATAAACAATCTGAATGCATTTCCGGTTTGATGACATACTTGTGGTCCGCGAAAACACAGGACCTGGAACCTGAGCTACCCCCATACGAACAGTTTTCGCGCTACCGACACTTCCAGCCAAATGCCATCATTCGGTTTGTGCAAACACATGCACATGAACACACAAGGAAATCCCATGCATCCTGCTACCTGAGCGATATATGCACTTCCGGTTTAATTATTGATCGATTGACATACAAATAAAAAGTGCCTGTCGATATTTTCTTTCACCTTGTTTCAATTTTAAGATAAAATATCAACATGATTTCAAATTTCAACTTTTTTAAAGGCGATTGATGCTCCAAAATGAAATTGGATAATAAATATTGTGTCTTTGATATCAATAATACTGTTACCAAGACTCTGATACGTTAATCAAATCGTATTGTTATATTTGATTCACTGTACCCCCAGGTGGAAAATGGACTCGTCCAGTGCCTACCTTCACATTCGCTGTCGGCCAGGTCTGTGATGTCCTGGAGGTACACCAGGTAGACCTGACACCGCACGTACCTCCTCCTTGTCCCGGGGCCACAGGTGCTGCTGCAGGGCCCCCAGCTCGACACCACGAACCTGGCGATACAAAACAGAGTGAGTGAGGTACAACACAGTGATCCCGTTAGACACCACGAACCTGGCGATACAACACAGTCATCCCCTTAACTTCAAGTCCCACCAGCAAAACTAAACGTGAGGTACGTAACAAGCGGGTGGGTGGGGTGGGTGAGTTCGGTTTTACGCAGCTTTTAGCAATATTCTAGCAATATCACGGCGGGGGACACCAGGAATGGGCTTCACACATTGTACCCATGTCGGGAATCGAACCCGGGTCTTCGGCGTGACGAGCTAACGCTTTAACCACTAGGCTACCCGACCGCCCCCGAAACAAGCGGAGTGCTCTGTACTAGAGTGAGTGAGGTACAACACAGTAATCCCCGTTATTATTATTCAGGTCCTTTGGACCATCGAACATAAAATCCGTTGGACGAAACAAGCGGGGTACTTTGGATTAGTGTGAGTGAGTGAGTGAATGAGTGAGGTGGGTTTTTATGCATCTTTTAGCAATATTTAAGGTATATCACGGCGTTTTAGCTTGGAAAGCCCAACAGGGAAGGAAAGCCTTAGTGTTGCTGGTCGTAGATGTTTACCACTATGGTAAAAACCACGGGCACAGAAGATTCTGGGATTCGAACCCACTATTATCTGTTTCATCCAAGGAGGGACAATCCACACAGCGTTCAGCAAATTGATCTACTAGACCATACTGCCCCTAGTTGGGTCCGCATAGGCTCAACTACCTCGTGCTTGTGGTAAAACACTTAATTCGGGTGGTCTGGTCCTGTGTCTTGGTTTATTGGGTGTCATCGTATCCCTTGCCCAGGGCGCTGTCCGTGTTAACTGTTCTCTAGTGTATTGTACAGGTCCTGTTCTCCAGTGTAGTGTAGAGGTCCTGTTCTCCAGTGTATTGTACAGGTTCTGTTCTCCAGTGTATTGTACAGGTCCTGTTCTCCAGTGTAGTGTAGAGGTTCTGTTCTCCAGTGTATTGTACAGGTTCTGTTCTCCAGTGTATTGTACAGGTCCTGTTCTCCAGTGTAGTGTAGAGGTTCTGTTCTCCAGTGTATTGTACAGGTTCTGTTCTCCAGTGTATTGTAGAGGTTCTGTTCTCCAGTGTATTGTACAGGTCCTGTTCTCCAGTGTAGTGTAGAGGTTCTGTTCTCCAGTGTAGTGTAGAGGTTCTGTTCTCCAGTGTATTGTACAGGTTCTGTTCTCCAGTGTAGTGTAGAGGTTCTGTTCTCCAGTGTATTGTAGAGGTTCTGTTCTCCAGTGTATTGTACAGGTTCTGTTCTCCAGTGTATTGTACAGGTCCTGTTCTTCAGTGTATTGTACAGGTTCTGTTCTCCAGTGTATTGTACAGGTTCTGTTCTCCAGTGTATTGTAGAGGTTCTGATCTCCAGTGTATTGTAGAGGTTCTGATCTCCAGTGTATTGTAGAGGTTCTGTTCTCCAGTGTATTGTACAGCTTCTGTTCTCCAGTGTATTGTAGAGGTTCTGTTCGCCAGTGTATTGTACAGGTTCTGTTCTCCAGTGTATTGTACAGGTCCTGTTCTCCAGTGTATTGTACAGGTTCTGTTCTCCAGTGTATTGTACAGGTTCTGTTCTCCAGTGTATTGTACAGGTTCTGTTCTCCAGTGTATTGTACAGGTCCTGTTCTCCAGTGTATTGTAGAGGTCCTGTTCTCCAGTGTATTGTAGAGGTTCTGTTCTCCAGTGTATTGTACAGGTTCTGTTCTCCAGTGTATTGTACAGGTTCTGTTCTCCAGTGTATTGTACAGGTTCTGTTCTCCAGTGTATTGTACAGGTCCTGTTCTCCAGTGTATTGTACAGGTCCTGTTCTCCAGTGTATTGTACAGGTCCTGTTCTCCAGTGTATTGAACAGGTCCTGTTCTCCAGTGTATTGTAGAGGTTCTGTTCTCCAGTGTATTTTACAGGTCCTGTTCTAATAGCCACATGTTCGACTGTCTCAGACTCGATTATCCAGCCGTAGTATTGCTGGAATATTGCCGATGGATAAAACATGAAGACCACAGTGCCTGCTGGAATCCTCCCAGAACATAATGTTACGTCTTCCCAGCGATCTGTCGAGATTACCGAGTCGGAGTCTTCATAGTACATGGAAGCTGTGTGTGGCTTTGTTGATGGCGTGACTGCCATTCCGGCAAGATCCAGGCTCTGAGTTTCCTTTCTCTTCATTCCACGAAATATGTCTCATCTTGAGTAGCATTTATTGTCAGTTTGCTTGTTTTTTAACGGCTCACTCAGCAATATATTCAATCCATATGACGGTGGTCTACATAATGGTGTCTGGACCAAATAATCAACCGTTGATGGGAAGACACGCAATCACCAAGCAAGAGTCGCCTTACGACAAGCATGGAGACCCAACGAGGTTTTCGTTTGCGAAAAATTAACTTGGTAGATGACGGACATGTAGTTTTCAGACTATACCTAAAATGACTCTGGATGCAAATAAAACGCTTTTGGTGTCCACGTTTCACAACTTTTGAGGTACGATGGAGCGTGCTATTTCTACGCTTTTCAAAGAGCGCTGCACGAATCTTGCTCAATGGTTGTTCGATCAGGGTTTTAATATTCAAGGCCTTAGTAAAGCTTTCATTAATGGTAGATCGGTGAGGCATATTTCCAAACTTAACACATCAGTGACAAAAATGTTTGATGCAATTCCTTATTTTGATGTGTGTTCCATGGTGAACACTAATCTAACCTTTTAATGTGTTTGTGACTGGTGTCCCGTATGGGCAGGATACACTGACGAACACCTATCATCACTATTTGGCCGTACAATAAAGACAGGCTTATGATTCAATCTGGATTCTGCCTTTAGCAGAGTGAGTGAGTGAGTATGGTTTTACGCCGCTTTTAGCAATATTCCAGCAATATCACGGCGGGGGACACCAGAAATGGGCTTCACACATTGTACCCATGTCGGGAATCGAACCCGGGTCTTCGGCGTGACGAGCGAACGCTTAAATCACCAGGCTACCCGACCGCCCCCTTTAGCAGAGACTTGTTATGATTATGTTGTTTGTTTGTTTGTTGTTTAACGCCGCACTCAACAATATTCCGGCTATATGAAGGCGGTCTGTAAATAATCGAGTCTGGACCAGACATCCAGTGATTGACAACATGAGCATCGATCCAAGCAATAGGAATACGATGACATGCATCAACCAAGTCAGCGAACCTGACCACCTGATCCCGTTAGTCGCCTCTTACGATAAGCATTGTCGCTTTTCACAGCATGCACGGGTTGCCGAAGACCTATGATACCCCGGATCTTCACGGGTGTGTCATGATCATGGAATTTCCATTTTCTTACTGCCTTTCATTCCAGAACAAACAACCCCAGATGGTAATGTTTAGTCCTGCACCATGACTGTGGAATACATGTATAGTATAAACAAACCAATCTAGATATATGTAAAACAAGTCCAGCCAGCTCTATGAAATCAGCATCAGGACTTCAAATATATTTAAATTTTTAGATGAAATAAATGTTTTGTGTAATATAAGAGTTCAAAGAGTATATGCTAGTCTTGGTAATATTCTCCAACAACTGTACACCGAAATGTTCTAATATCGTCTCCTTCATATACAAAGCAGATCACAACCCTAAGAAGTCTGCCGCACCGTGTCAACAGAATATTTCCATCGCTGGTCAACAAAATAATGTGTATTTTTTCCAAGACGTAATTGAGATGGAAGTCTACCCCTGAACTATCAAATCAACACAAGAAAACGACCCCAAGAAGCGAAAAGCTCCATCAATCAAGTCAGGGAGAACAGCTTCTTCCGGCAACAAGTTTTCGGTCCAAGCAGCGTTTTTCATCTCAGGTACGTCGTCACCTGCCAGGTGTGATAACGGCCAGACTACACGTGACTGCAGCGAGCAACGCCGTTATCTGACGGGGCAACTACAGATTCTTCTCAGGTAAGAAACAGATGATTTAAAGGCTTAAGTGGACCTTGTGAAAAAACGGTTTGAATATCGTGTGAGATGAAACCTCTGACAAGTTACACGCAACAAAGACATAAACTAGCATCATCTGCTGTGTCTGTGTGTTAATCATTGATGATAGTCAACAGAGCGCACATGTTTATTTATATCGACCAATAACACCACTTAACCCCCAATTACAGCAGTAAATTGTCTTGATAAACAGAATAAGCTCATCTGTTTTAAGTGATATGTTTGAAAACAGAACGTATCATAACTTCATGGGGTGATTTTCGACAGATATGTTCATTATTCTGTATCATAAAGCATTCTGGAATTGGACCTAATGTGGAAATCTCAGGAAAGTATTTGAAACAGGAGACGGAAGGAACGGGAGGAATTCACAGCAGCATGTTAACAGATCCTCGTACCATCAGACAAACTACACTGTTATTCATGTAATTACCTACATCGTGTAGGAATGCCGGTCTAAAGGGGTAATTAGGTTGATCAGGAGAGGCAGAGTGTTGTCCCTACCTCAGGACGCCATCACGGCATCCTTGCAATGAGTACAAAGCTATAGGAAACACCCCAACAGGTTCAACAACACTGACAGGATTGCTGACATTATGAAAACAGGTACCTTCAAACTATCCTCAAGTCAAAGATAATTATTGCATTGAAGGCATCCGGCCCATATACCAATGCGTTGCATTTAATTAGTTTTACATATTTTGATATTTACTGATGTTTAACAATTCGTTTCTGGGGAAATTACATTTTTAACATATAAAGCCTGTTTTAATATGACAGTATCATCTTTTGAAAAGAGAAGAGAAATAAAAGCAGGTACAGGATAATTTGACAGACAGCGTTCTGGCATAAATTTGTTTCCTAGATCACATTATAATAAGGGCATACAAAAGTAAAATGAATTTCATTTTCTATTGCAGAATGCCATAATAGGCATAACCTCTTCGCCTTTTCAGTGGATATGTTTCTTCCTTTATCAATCATGAGATCTAACAATCCAAGCATGAACTGAATTAATGGACGTCAAAGGGTCTTTGGTGTTAATGTAAAAAAGTATTTTTCTAATTGAATAAGACTCTTAAAAGTTGTATACAAGTCATACCTTGGACTGTTTTCTAGAATGGAATGCCATTCTTGGTAAAACATATTTATAGATCTTTCACGAAATTGTTTCAAAACGAGTTTAACATCACCAACTGTTTGGTTTAACCATACAAAGCCGTGGCCATGAGAAAACAAATGGTTTCTAATATGTGATGCCCATGTTACTTTGCCCATGTTGGCTTTATGTACAAGCATGTTAAAAGAAATCCTTTGACATTCACATTTGCAGGGCGTACAAAAGGTGAAAGTTAACTTGTGGTACAGTACATTTACGTGAATATATATCCAGGTGACCTTGACATTGTAAGTCGCTTACCTTGGTGAACTCATATCATGGTCCTTGACCTCATCTTCATGTATGACCATGAACTCTGCATCCGGGTTCCTATCCTTGGTCTTGGCCTGTCTGAGCTCTCCAAGCGACGACTCCTGCACCCCGCCTACAACACACACGACCAGCAGCCTCACTACGACGACCATACAGACTATACACGACATCACTGTACGGCAACAACTGCCCAGGTTTAGATACTAGTAGTCACACAGTACAACGCTTGTAAACTATTCGGTTCAACACAGATCCAACACAGTGGCCATGTTTAAAAGTAACAATGCGAACTTCCGCAAATATGTCCGTCCTGTGTGCAGCAGAAATAGCCAGCGTACAGCATGCTTTAAACCGTATCCACTGTATAAAGAGATATGTTGACTGTCAAGGTAAATACAACGACAATGGCCTGCATCTGATGTCTCGCCTGAGGATGAGGCAGTTTGTGGAACCAGGGCGCATGTTCCTCTCTGAACGCATAGCAACCATTACACCATGACAGATGACCGGTCTAGTCCAACAGTGAACATATGAGGGTCATTGTACTCTTCATGACTGAACGCTTGGGGACAATGCGTAAACAATATGCGCAATGCAACATGATCTGTTTGGCTGAAGGATGCGGACAGAAGTTTTCTCGGATACAAGCCACAGACAACAAACTCGGTCTGAATCCACCACCTTGCATCAGAATACTTGGTCCCGAATGATAAAATCCAAGATGGATGCACCAATGAAACTTGCATACGCAACTGGTTGAAAGCAAGGTTGTTTTCGGCAGCTGAATGCCGTCTAACTTTGTTTGATAGACTTACTGTTTATTATTATGCATTAACAATTTATAACTGCCTGACGTTTTTGTACAATAATTCCTCATCACATTCCGTGCCGTAACGTCGTGACCGGGAGCTAATGTAAACAGGTTACACGTGGAGATGTTAGATACTGAAGATGTTGCCTTAATAAATAACAGCCCATTTAGCGTTTATCAAGCATACGGGAGTGTTTGTTAGAGGGGTGAGTCCCCCCGCTGTCACCAACCCTTGTCGTCAATGCTAGCAAATGGAAATTCCTGTACCTTGTTTTATTACAACACCGTCTAAGCAAACATGCGATTTTAATATATTGCATGACACTCGTGTGCACGTTATTGACACGAGGAGAACACTGTTGTATGTCATTCTCAACACGTTTGTTTAGCCTTGTCATAAATCATACGCTATTTATACGTGTAGGGATATTTAGTTTGTACTGTGTATCTCTGTTGGTTTGACAAAAAATATAGGACTTGTAGCCAACATACCGTGTTCATCATGCTCTGCAACATAGTGGCGATCTGAAATGTAAAAATAGACAGTTGTACCAACATGAAACGACAGTCGATGTTTTAGAAATCTTTGACTGACTGATTGACTGAGTATGGTTTTACGCCGCTGTTAGCAATATTCCAGCAATATCACGGCGGGGGACACCAGAAATTGGCTTCACACATTGTACCCATGTCGGGAATCGAACCCGGGTCTTCGGCGTGACGAGCGAACGCTTTAACCACTAGGCTACCCGACCGCCCCTATAAATCTTTGAACAGCCGCCAGCTCTATATATTCAACCCGAGTACTGAGAGAATTGTTTCTGTTGTCAGTGGAGGAAGGTTGCTTTTTGATAACAGAAATCCCCGAAAAATATCCCCCTTCCACAAAATCCATCTTAATTCGTCCTATCTTTTCCTTCCACAAATTCATCTCCCACACTCACAGCACCCACAACTATCGTCTCCAGCAACCTTCCCTCCCTACCGACCGATCTGCCCTCACCCACAAATATCGTCTCCAAATAACGTTCCCTCCCCACCGCACGATCTACCCTCACCCACAATTATCGTCTCCAAATAACGTTCCCTACCCACTCACGACCGACCTGCCCTCACCCACAACTAATGTCTCCAAATAACGTTTCCTCCCCACTCATGACCTCACCCACAACTTACCACTTGAATCGAAGCATGGGAAGTTGGTTGTGCAGTTTTTCCTTGTGAGTGGTCTGTTGGAATGGTTGCAGAAGGTGTCCCCCTCGTGACGGCAGACCACCTCCCTGTACTGGTAGCCCCACCCACACGTCACACTGCACTGCAACAGACACCAGGACATACATTAGTCTCTAGCCGGGCTGGGTCGGTTACATGACGTCATGACGACGTCAACAGTCAATGCTAGTATCGCCAACATCATTTCATATAAAACAGTGTTAGGTTGAATGTCACAGCAAGTCTGCGAGAGATCTCTTTACAGTACACGTACATGTATAGTCAGTATACTACGTTGTTCGCTGACCTAAGCCTGTGAGAGATCCCCATAGAGGATATATACAAGTATATCAGGTGTGTGGTGACGTGAGCCTGTGAGAGATCCCCATAGAGGATATATACATCAAGTATATCAGGTGTGTGGTGATGTTAGCCTGTGAGAGATCCCCATAGAGGATATATACAAGTATATCAGGTGTGTGGTGACGTTAACCTGTGAGAGGTCCCCATAGAGGATATATACATCAAGTATATCAGGTGTGTGGTGACGTTAACCTGTGAGAGGTCCCCATAGAGGATATATACATCAAGTATATCAGGTGTGTGGTGACGTTAACCTGCGAGAGATCCCCCATAGAGGATATATACAAGTATATCAGTTGTGTGGTGACCTGAGCCCGCGAGAGATCCCCATAGAGGATATATACAAGTATACTCAGTAGTGTGGTGACGTTAACCTGCGAGAGATCCCCATAGAGGATATATACAAGTATACTCAGTAGTGTGGGGACGTTAGCCTGCGAGAGATCCCCATAGAGGATATATACAAGTATATCAGATGTGTGGTGACATAAGCCTGCGAGAGATCCCCATAGAGGATATATACAAGTATATCAGTTGTGTGGTGAACTGAGCCTGTGAGAGATTCCCAAAGAGGACACATACAAGTATATCAGGTGTGTGGTGACATAAGCCTGCGAGAGATCCCCATAGAGGATATATACAAGTATATCAGTAGTGTGGTGACCTGAGCCTGCGAGAGATCCCCATAGAGGATATATACAAGTATATCAGGTGTGTGGTGACGTTAACCTGCGAGAGATCCCCATAGAGGATATATACAAGTATATCAGGTGTGTGGTGACGTTAACCTGCGAGAGATCCCCATAGAGGATATATACAAGTATATCAGGTGTGTGTTGACGTTAACCTGTGAGAGATCCCCATAGAGGATATATACAAGTATATCAGTTGTGTGGTGACGTTAACCTGCGAGAGATCCCCATAGAGGATATATACAAGTATATCAGTTGTGTGGTGACCTGAGCCTGTGAGAGATTCCAATAGAGGATATATACAAGTAAATCAGGTGTGTGGTGACGTTAGCCTGTGAGAGATCCCCATAGAGGATATATACAAGTATATCGGTTGCGGGGAGCTACCTACCGGAGACCACTCACCCGCATACCACTTGGGGCAGATGAAGGTATTGCAAGGCTTGGACGTGGATGGCTTGGGTCCAGGACAGAAGCGGTCCTCAACGCGCTCCAGCTGACCACTGGTCATCATGTCCATGCACCGGACATCTCGGAACTCAAACCCGCCTCCGCACGTGTGACTGCACGTGCTCCAAGGGGGAATCTTCCACCTGGAAAGGGCAGAAAATATGCTATATACACTTAACTGAGAGAGGTCGGTTTTACGCCGCTCTTAAGGGCCCGTCTCACCTAGCCGATTTGGGTCGCCGGATCCATACCGAAGCACAAATTTGGCGATTTTCGGGGATCTGTACTAGTACGGCAGCGCAACTGTATCTCATCGCTAAGAACGGTAGTACATCGTCAGGACATCGTCCAAACATCGGCGAAAACTTTGGCAACGGCAGGCGACGGTAGAAGTTTTTTTAACATGCTCACAAATTTCCGCCGTTGCGCTGCCGGAGCGAGCAACCGGACTACAACGGCAGTACAACGGCAGTACAACGGCAGTACAACAGCAGTACTCCGGTAAGGCTTCGTTAATGTCGGTAGAGCATCGGTAGCGCCCCGTAATGGATCGGCGGCTCCCCGGTGGCCTCAATGTGTACCGTACTGGTACCGATGTGTTACCGTAGTACTACCGAATACCACCGAAGTAGTACTGATGCGCCGCCGATGTGATACCGGAGCTCCACCGTCACATCGGCAGCGCAACGGTATTACTCCGCTACAGCTCCGGTCAACGGTGGTACATCTGTATAACATCGGCGGGGCATCGATAACTCCAAGGTGACAGAAAAGTGGTATTCGTTAGCACATCAGCTCTTACATCGGAAGGACAACGGCTGAACAACGGTATCACAATGGGAACGCCGGTACTACATCGGTATTGCAGCGGTCAATTTTGATTTTTCAAGTGCTTTCTCGCCGGAGCTCCGCCGATTTTCTCGCTGTTGTTAAGTTTTTGCTCCGGTTTAGTCCCGGCGAGGTACATCGGTAGGGTGTGAAGGCCCTTCAGCAATAGTTCAGCAGTGTCACGACAGGGGACAGCAGAAATGGGCTTCACGACTCCCTCCACCCTACATTTATATACCCGTAATAGGTGAAAATGGAATTTTGGTGAATGAGATACTTTTTAGCTACGTCTTACATTTACTCAACCCATTACATTCGGGCATCAGCTTAAGACCCGGTTTTGCTCTTCAAAATATAACTTGACCTGTACTCCGTAAGTTCAAAAACAAATATATTTCCATGTGCTTCGTTATTTCGAAAACAAATTAGTTTAGCGTGTGATTTCGGAAACATGTTACGGACAATCTGTTTCTACGAAGTAACATCATTGAATGCAAAATGTTTACCCAAAGTGACACCTACGAATGAAAACTGTTTACCCAAAGTAACATCTACGAATGTAAACTGTTTCCACGAAGTAACATCTACGAATGTAAACTGTTTACCCGAAGTAACATCTACGAATGTAAACTGTTTACTCGAAGTAACATCTACGAACGTAAACTGTTTCCACGAAGTAACATATACGAATGTAAACTGTTTACCCGAAGTAACACCTACGAATGTAAACTGTTAACTCGAAGTAACATCAACGAATGCAAACTGTTTACTCGAAGTAACATCTACGAATGTAAACTGTTTCCACGAAGTAACATCTACGAATGCAAACTGTTTACCCGAAGTAACACCTACGAATGTTAACTTTTTAGTCGAAGTTACATCTACGAATATAAACTTTACCCGAAGTAACACCTACGAATGTAAACTGTTTCCACGAAGTAACACCTACGAATGTAAACTGTTTACCCGAAGTAACATCTACGAGTGTAAACTGTCAACTCGAAGTAACATCAACGAATGCAAACTGTTTACTCGAAGTAACATCTACGAATGTCAACTGTTTCCACGAAGTAACATCTACGAATGCAAACTGTTTACCCGAAGTAACACCTTCGAATGTAAACTGTTTCCACGAAGTAACACCTACGAATGTAAACTGTTTCCACGAAGTAACATCTACGAATGCAAACTGTTTACCCGAAGTAACACCTACAAATGTAAACTTTTTAGTCGAAGTTACATCTACGAATATAAACTTTACCCGAAGTAACACCTACGAATGTAAACTGTTTACCCGAAGTAACACCTACGAATGTAAACTGTTTACCCGAAGTAACACCTACGAATGTAAACTGTTTACCCGAAGTAACATCTACGAATGTAAACTGTTTACCCGAAGTAACACCTACTAATGTAAACTGTTTACTCGAAATAACACCTACTAATGTAAACTGTTTACACGAAGTAACATCTACGGATGTAAACTGTTTACCCGAAGTAACAACTACGAATGTAACATCTACGAATGTAAACTGTTTACCCGAAGTAACATCTACGAATGTAAACTGTTTACCCGAAGTAACATCTACGAATGTAACATCTACGAATGTAAACTGTTTACCCGAAGTAACATCTACGAATGTAAACTGTTTACCCGAAGTAACACCTACTAATGTTAACTGTTTACCCGAAGTAACATCTACGAATGTAAACTGTTTACCCGAAGTAACATCTACGAATGTAAACTGTTTACTCGAAGTAACATCTACGAATGTAACATCAACGAATGTAAACTGTTTACCCGAAGTAACACCTACTAATGTAAACTGTTTACCCGAAGTAACATCTACAAATGTAAACTGTTTACCCGAAGTAACATCTACGAATGTAAACTGTTTACTCGAAGTAACATCTACGAATGTAACATCTACGAGTGTAAACTGTTAACCCGAAGTAACAACTACGAATGCAAACTGTTTACCCGAAGTAACAACTACGAATGCAAACTGTTTACTCGAAGTAACAACTACGAATGTAAACTGTTTCCACGAAGTAACATCCACGAATGTAACATCTACGAATGTAAACTGTTTCACGCACTATAACGCACTAACTTACGATGGGGGACATTTTCTGATAAAGCACTGCTTCATCCTTCCAGCGGGCTTGTTTCTGTGGAGGCACTTGTAATCCTTGACGTTCTTATGCGTGTTTCGATCCCGGCACTTGAACACAGAGCTCACGATACCTGCACAAACACACAACATACAATCAGTCACCGAACGAAACCAGTTAAATAGTTTGTTTGTTGTGTAACGCCACACTCCATATTTCAAGCTATATGACGATTGATATTGTGAGCAACGAACCACGCCGTCGGGGTACGGTGACACCCAATCAATCGCGTCACCGAACCTGCCCACCCGATTGATTAAGTCAGGTGAGGTGAAATGGGGTTTAACGTCGCTTCCAAGATTATTGCACTTATGTAGCGACGTAGGTGCACATCTGTGCGTGTGTGCGGCTGCTTGTACTAGTCCGGACTGATGCCGATTTATAGTGCTAGCCAACTGAGATACCATGAGATAACATGAATAACCCACCAAGGCACAGTATACTGACACTGAGCCGACCAGTCCTTGTTTTACCCTTAATGCCAAATGCCAGACAGGGTAACAACAAGTACCATCTTTTAACGTCTTTTGGTATGACGCGATCGGGGATCGAACCCCGGACCTTCCGCTCTCCGGGCAGACGCCCTACCACTAGACCACGGAGGCGGTCAGATTCATTAAGTCGCCTCTTAGGACCAGCATAGGTTGGTGGGACCAACTCTAACGAGGAATCCGCGGGTTTAAAACATAATATAGGCTGAAGAGTGTGCAACAACTGGACCCGCTCCACAAAGCGATCGTAGCGCTAAGTGATCATAACTCCCATATTTTATTATAGACTAAGACAGACTAAGCCCCACGATCGCTTTGGGGAACGGGGCCAGGTGTTGTCTAGGGTTGTTTGAAGCTACAACCCATTTTATGTAGAAAATGTAAACATTCCAGTTCGTAATACAGATCGGTAGTCCTCACACACAGGATCAAGGTGGATGAGCTCAAGGCGTGTGCCTGATGTCACTCATGTTTATTAATCACACGAAGTCGTGCATCTCAAACGACAGCGCTGTGTGATGCTGTGTGACGGGAAAGGGGAAGTACACCTACATATCTACAGTAGAGAGGGTTTGCGGAGAGCCTGGCATGGTGCTGCAGAAACAGGGCAACGAGTGTAACAGGTCTCTGGATAAACATATGCTTTGTTCGTATGATTTCTTCAGGTGGGGTGAATATTGGAGACTGTGAAGCACCCAGTGGAGTTCTGTGTCCCCGAGTGAGCGAATAATGTACCCTAGCGTAATTCCCGAGTTTCAACAGACTATTCTAATTATTACACAGCGTCATAGAAGGAAGAAAATTAAGATAAATGAAGAAAAACAACAGTCGATTTTTTTTCTCATTACGTGACATCATTTTGCTTTAACTGAGCAATCAGTTTTTCAACCCTTTTATTGGTAAAATAATGATATTCCTGGTGATGTAATGTTCTGTTAAAGCTAGAAAGATTGTTCAGCATATTGTATTCGTATACATGTTTAACCCCATTTTGGATTACCGTGTACATTCAAAACAGATTATTAAAACCCCGCCCCAGTTTATATACCACTCAAAATAAGTTAAGGACCATCCGATGTTTTCGTATTACATGACATGACAGGCTAACTATGGAATTATAAAAGAATCGGATGGTCCTTAACCTATTATGAGAGGTATACATCCACAACAGCTGCTTCCGATGGTGATTCGGTGCCAACGACATTAACACCATTAGTAATTCAGAGAAACTAAAGTAAAAGGATACTCTAGATGGCTATGTAGGTTAATTAGGGTTAAAGTCATCACTCGTCACAATTAACCTGCTAAGCCTCCGGCGAATATATCTACCATACTCAAAACAGACACGGCATATCCAGGTTGAAAATAAGCAGGCATTGATTAGTTGTGCAGATAATATCACCACAAACCATGGTCCGTAAGATCAATTCAACAGACCATTGGCTCTCGAACATATGAGACTTACATTGATAATATCTTCCTACTGACATTCTCAAGAGCTTCAATGGGGTGGTGGACGCCCTAATGATATCTGAACCGCAACAAAACGATTGATCTTGTGTGGGATTGAGGCAACAGCACAGGAACTGACTTTGATTTATCAGAGGTGCATACTTATATCACGAGTGTTTAAACCGTTATGCCCTATCCAATAAAAACAAAACAAAAACAAACAAGTAACGAAATAAACAAACAAATAAATAAATAAATGTTGGACTTAGATATTAAATATATACTTCCTTCCGCTTTAGGACATTTAAACAACGATGTTTTATTTACACTGCATTCGACTGTAACCAGTGGCGGACAGTAAGAACAACCATTGACATAATCAAGGGAATCTGGGTGTGCTGGGACCAGAAGGATGTGTGTGTGTGTGTGTGTGTGTGTGTGTGTGTGTGTGTGTGTGTGTGTGTGTGAGTGAGTGTGCGTGCGCGAGTGAGTTCGTGTGTGTGTGTGTGTGCGTGCGTTGTTGTGTGTGTTTGGGTGTGCGCGTGCAGTGCATAAACGTATGGGTTGATGGATGGGTGGATGGGTGGATGGGTGGATGAAAGAATGTCACTAGTATGTGAGACTTGTAGTCTTTTCAGCCTTCCAGTGACTATTTGCTTCTCGGTTAGTCGTAATAACACAGTTGTGACTTCATAAGCCCTTCATAGCCTTGTATCATGGATGTGAACGGTGCACCCCACATCAATCTTCCTGTACACATGCAGTTTCAGTTTAAACATAACCAGATAGGCAGAGATAATTCCTGGTTGACGTGGTCACAGAAATAGAATGCTACATGTCGCAGCCTTGAGGCCGCAAGAAAAGAAATATTTGTTTTTCCAAAGTCATTATACAATGGACGAAAAGGTAATTTTTGAAATAAGCTTTTCTCGTTTTCAAAGACTCACATATATTCATATTTGTTCTTGAATTTGCTTAACTGCGAGTTTGATACATGTTTGTGTTCAAGTACCAGTTCATGGTAAGGGTGATTATGCGAAGATTCACTCCGCTCTCAACATTTAACCTATATGGGGATGTCGGGTTGGGGGATGTAAATCACCACAGGAAACCACAATCATATATTGTTATTGGTTAAAAATAAAGGAGGATGAGTACCGAAAAACAAATAATTCGTTATGTCCCGAGACAGCTGTTTCTGTGGCTGAAGTGCTTGAAATTCAGAGATCAGTGTTAATTAACCAGGTAGAATTCCAACCAGGTATAAAAGTTTGTACAACTTTTGAACTCGGATTTCTACTTAATTTACCTACACGTAAACTTCACTGCGAACATATTTATTACATTTGCGTGCACATGTTAAAAACAAGAATAGCGTCCTCTCAATACACGCCAAGACGGAAAGCTACAAACTTTACGTATACCTGTAAAGACGGCGGTCTGCAGTGCGGAGCCCCGTGTTTGCATATGCGCTGTGGAACACCGGTGGTATGCACTAAATGCAATTAAGGTCAAAGGTCGTGTGAACGCCTTCACAAGAGCGCACATTCATCATCCAAGTACAAAGATTGTGACACGGCTGTCGACAGTGTTAACACCTTGAGCTGCAGCAGGTGAACATATTCCTCACTATTACAGTAATGTATATTGAATAAAAAGGTTTATAGTACCCTCGATGTAAGAATATAATGATTGCAAAGCACACATATCGCGCCGTAAAGTACCGAGATATCACATAAGGTCTTGATACTTCAAGCATAAGCAAATATTGCCGACAACGAAGCATTCAGTCGCTAAACCCTTAAGGCTCCTAAACTGTACCTATAATTCTGATTTAATGGGCTGTAAACACGCATCATAAACTCGTGTTTTGGTCCAGTCTATACATAAAACATTTCGCCAAAAGTCCCTGACCCCGGTTTTCTATTCTGATCTACATGCCTGCATATCCCATACTTATAGCCAGGCTCTCTCGACAACTTAACACTGATCTCAATACTTCAACCCAGGTTTGCACTGAGCTTATGGGCAATCTATGCCAGATGTAGCCGTCTTTAAAGGGGTTAAACATTATCTTTGGCAGGGCCGGATTTCCAAGATAACGTTAAATGAATGTTCAAAGCTTATTTGAAACCGTAAGTTAACCACAAGCTGCCAGTTTCGAATAGACCATTCATTGACTCCTACTTCAGTTGAAAGAACATTTTACTATGTAGTTTCTAAGATATAATTTCTGAAATTAAATATTTGCATACATACTAAATAAAAATTATACTAAAAATACTAAGATACTAAAAATTATATTTAATTTCATTCACAAAATGTTCAGGCAAAGAAAATCTGCATCTCCTCCCTAACAATATAACCATAGCAATATTTGTATTCTCTTTTGTATGTCAATGTTTTAAATAGTCATGTTCATGTTTTGTACCCTGCCTCCGTGGGTGTCTTGTACAATAAATATTCTTCTTCTTCTTCTTCTTACATATACTGTTATGCTACAACGTGGCTTTATTTCCCCAAACCTACCATTGATAGTAATGTGTACCGTGTGTGAAACAAGAGCAATCCTCACTAAGGCCCTCGGGGATTCAAGCGTCATACGTAGAGCGAACTAAATGGGGATCGGATGGACAGAGTGTGACGGCCTGGGTCGGTGAGCATGCAAGTGGCTTGCTTGGTTCAGGCTCAGTGTTACAGAATTGATAGTCCTACACCACACGAGGAAGACTTGCGGAAGGTACCATGATGTAGAAGGTACCATGCAGTTTAGAAGGGCGGGTGTTACTTTTGTTTGCTTGTTGTTTAACGCCGCACTAAGCAATATTCCAGTTATATGACAGCAGTCTGTAAATAGTCTGGGCCAGAAGATACAGTGATTGATATCACGAGCATCGGTCCATGCAATTGGGGTGTTACTACATCACATGTGATGGAATAAGGAGACACGCCTCAAGGGTGTTTCTACCAATCAGTGATAAAATTGTATAATGACATATAAGACGAGAGGAGAGCGTTACCTACACAATAGGAGGGGAAACAATGAGAGACTCTCCCCAAAATTGTTTCTACCAATCAGTGACAAGGATATGTAATGGAATATAAGACGAGAAGGGTTGTGTTACCTACACAATGGGAGGGGAAAAAATGAGAGACTCACCCCAACATTGTTTCAACCAATCAGTGATAAGAATATAAGACGAGAGGAGTGTGTTACCTACACCACAGGAGGCGGAGCAATGAGCGAGACCCTCCCCCACACATTGATTCTACCAATCAGTGATAAGGATATATAATGGAATATAAGACGAGAGGAGTGTGTTACCTACACCACAGGAGGCGGAGCAATGAGAGAGACCCGCCTCCACCCAGTGGAACACCCCTTTAGTTTTCAGGCACGCATTACTGCCGCCGCACAGACCGCACAAGTCAAAATGCTTGTTCGAGCCAAGTCTGTGGTCGCATCCAACTGACTGAAACAGAAAATGATGGTTATTGAACATGTGGCGTTATCCCAGAGCCGGGCATTCAATAAAGGGTCAGTGTTGACCATTTTACGACCAGGCCAAAATGATACACATGCATAATCGAACACTTCTTTTTGGCGACATTCATCTTGATATCTCTGAACCATGCATCCTCTATTACAAATTAACAAAATTTCAATACTGCATATCGGTATATACGCACAGATATCGAACTATGTGAGCGAGTGAGTGAGTTTGGTTTTACGCCGCTTTGAACAGTATTTCAGTCACGGCGTGTCCGCTTGATGTGAGATAAAACATTAAAGTGATGGATGTCTTGGACGCTTACTATTTTGGTGAATCCTACAAGCACTAGTATGCTTAAGGCCAAGAAAAAAAATCAAAACCTAGGGCACAATCTGGGATTCGAACCCACGATCACAGGTTTGTAGCACGCCCAAGGCCCACTTGGACGCCCGTGTACGTACACCGAGAGGCGTTACTATGGTGACTGCCTAAAACAAATGTGTAAATTGTTAAATTTGAAGGTGGATGTGACCAAACGTTCCTTTTGAGAGAATATTTATCCGCCAACCTACCATGCACGTGCCATTGATGCACATGTCCAATGCTTTGTCTCTGCATCTCGTCCCGTCTAAAACTTTAGGTGCAAGGAGGGCGAGAGTTCTCGGCCCTGACGCTACGCAGTAGAGGGCGCATGGGTTCTTCCTGTCTGTATAGGGATGCCAGCGGTAGAACTTGCCTCCGTAACTTTCGTCGTTATATGCCGCGCATTGTTGTTCTCTAAAGTCAAGGGAGCCTGGTGCACAGGGCTGAAAAAGTCAATTTCAATGGAATAATACTTATATTGTATCTTTAATATTCTTATAAAGAAATTGTATATTATATATTTGTTGGAAATTATGCAAAGTCAGAACCCAAATTATATACGTTGTACACACCCTTGTGTTACCAGTCGTGACGTCACACTTTTGTGTGTACACTATTTTATTTATGAAGTCTCCATTAACACTGAAGCATCTCGGACTAACTGCTTCTGGACTGTTTTTGTCCTTGCATTGCGTTAGACTCTTTTCGCGATATGGTACAGGAATCTATGCTTAGTTCATAACCATGTTGGGAGTGCCCTTTTGATTTTTATTCGATATCTTGCAGGGTAATATATGTCATATATTCGGCAGTTTACTCTCAACCACACAGAACTCTGTTCATAAGAAACTGTCCCGTGTTCTAGCCATATGCTTCTATTGTCCATAGACGGTAAACTGAATACACTGAGGCAACTTGTTCGATCAGAACACCATAACTGTGGAACTATCATCTTTGGAGAGAGAATTAGGTTAAAAGAACCCAAACAGCTATTCCTTTCATATCAGAAGTCAATATTCTAGTGAAGTTAATTTTCTCAAAGTCCATGTGGCTTGGTGATATCGACTGAAAAAACTGCTACATCGTTTACGATCTCTGCAAATCTTTCGTGTCAAGATATACATGTTTGATCGACTCGATCAGCGAAATCAGATAATTTTATACTCCTTAGGATGAAATTGGGCATCGTCACCTGGTGTCTGGCTCCTCGACAACCCAGTTCTCAAGCATAGTGATTCCGTTCATGACTGTATATCAACGGTCTCATTTGTTGAACATCTTGCAAATCGTCTCCAGATCACGTTATAATTTGCATCCCATTAAAATACAGTATGCAGCTTACATTGCCTTTAGAATTGAACCGAGTGATTGAGTCAAGATTGTAGCAGTTGACAAATTGTCTGGTTGATGGGGTGAGGTCAGTTGGTGCTGATGAAGAGCATGACCAGCTGATAGCCAGGATAAGAGGGGAGGGATTACTTGCATCGTCACCACGGCGCCAGCACAGCGGAGATAGTACATCTTATACAAGGTGCTCGTTTGTCGGCTAAATGGTATATGAAATGAGTGGACCTGATTAGTCTTTAATGACGAAGAATATTGAGAACGTTGGAATTCTGTCTCTGACAGAGACTCTACTCTAATGCCACAGCAAGTCACTCGATCCTCGATGATGGTCAGGCATGAAACGTTACACTTTACAAGTGAGTGTGAGTGAATTGGGTTTAACGCCGCTTTATATCACGGAATGCAAGTGTGTCATCACTGATTTTCAGTAGTCCATTCATATAATTTACATCACTATTTGACTTTTACGCCCTATCGAATTTGTTTCAGCGATAATTGAGACTGGTTATTCTCTGGCATTGACGTTTTGAACTAAATGTGGACAACACAAAGTGAAGCAGGTCACAAAGTGAAGCAGGTCACAAAGTGAAGCAGGTCACAAAGTGATGCAGGTCTTCAACAACCTCAGTGACAAATACAGGTGACAGCGTCCATAATCAGAGGAAATGTCATGCGTTGGTGTGTCTGCTTGTACTAGTCCGAACTATTGCCGGTTTTATAGTGAAAGCCATGAATACCAATCTCAGACACAGTATACTGTCTCCGAGCCGAACATTCTTTGCTTTATTCCCTTGATGGCGAGCGCCAGACAAGGTAATAACAAGTACTATCTATAAATGCCATTTGGTATGACGCGGCCGGGGATCGAACTACCGACCTTCCGCTCTCCGGGCGCTCAATCACACAATAATACCATGTGTTTCAACGAGGCGACATGTTGATTTTCCATTAATATTCAGCTCGCTAACTGCGTCATGACCTCAGTTAAGAGCTGTAGTAGCGAAACGTGTTTTTTGTGGCAGATTTGGTATCAAGTACCCCTGATCAGATCGGAGGAGACGGCAGTAAGGTAGGTTTGACTCGACATTACATTCAGACTTACTTCGTTGTTGCAGGTGGCGTATCTGATGCTTTTCCCGGTACAATCATATTGGACGGACCGATAACTCCTCATGCACTTTCTCATCTGGTAGGTGGCGCCACCATCGCACGTGCGCGAGCACGCGCTCCACTTTGACCATTTGCCCCAGTGATCGCCGCTCGCCACACACACCATCTGAAAGAAACAAGGAATAGGTATACGTTCCTTGTAGTAAGATAGATATTGTTAACTCAGTGTAAAAACGTTTTTAAGGTGAAAGATGAAATTTGCTTCCTTCACTATGGCCTATGCTTCCAACCCAGAGACCATACCGGAATATGGTCTCTATTCCTATCGCAAAGCATGCGTAACGCGCTGCTATGGACGGCCGCTGACAATGTGTAAGTGTATTTCGTTTTACGACGCTTTTAACAGTATTTCAGTTATATCACAGTGAGTGAGTGAGTGAGTGAGTATGGTTTTACGCCGCTTTTAGCAATATTCCAGCAATATCACGGCGGGGGACACCAGAGATAGTTATATCACAGCGCGTTTGTTTGTTTGTGGTTAAACGCCGCACACAGCAATATTCCAGCTATATGACGGCCGCCAGTAAATATATAATCGATTCTGGGCCAGACAATCCAGTGGATTGACATAATAGGAATCGATCCGAGCAATTGGGATACGATGACATGCATCAACCAAGTCAACGAGCCTGACCACCCGATCCCGTTAGTTGCCTCTTACAAGCATAGTCACTTTTTACAGCAAGCATGGGTTGCTGAAGACCTATTCTACCCCGGATGTTCACGTCGCGTCGGGAGGAGAGCACGAGGGGATGCAGGTATAAGATGGATGCCGCTGTGGTACACCCCCAAACATGCTACTGAGTGTAAAGGATATTTACAACGACGTCGATTTCCATCAAGGAATGCATAAATGAGGTTTTATGCCATGTAATAATAGCTGCAAAGTGGCAACCTCTATAATGTAATCGCTTCTGACATTTGTGTCCATCAACAAGTTAGACTGTCGGTCATGCGACAGTCGATAGTGTCACCACACGCCAACGAGTGAGTGAATGAATGAAGATCATGTATTATGGCCCACTACAACATGGCATCGAACACATCGTCAATATACACTCAAGTACACGTTATCAAATCCAGAGTGAGTGCAATATGGTTTTCGCCGTTAGCAATTTGTCATCAATATCACGGCGGGAAACACCATTGAACACATGAGGAGTCGAACCCGGGCCTTGGGCGTGACGGACGGACGCTGTAACCACTAGGCTACTCCATCGCAAGTCCGTCTTACAGACCCTGATACAAATATATCAAATACAGCCCATGCAAGTCTATAGTGTTTGGCAAGTCTAGATTACTGCAGTATCAGTGTCTGAAATGAAGAGAGTCTCTGGGCTCCCTTATATTTTATTTTTATTAAGATAATTGGACAACTGTTTTTTTTCTGTACGATATGTTCATTTCAGATACTAGATGTTAGCCTACTCCATCACCGCCCATAACAGATTTAAACTGTGATCCATCCAAATACTACAGATCGAAACCATCCGGGTTTTTTCATAAATAATATATTTAATACTGTCTACCGCGGCAATTATACTTGGCTATACTTGGATTCTACAGATGAATGAACGCGGGAATAGTGCAACTTGATACTGCCCGGTACTGTAGCGAGGTCACTGACCTCATCTGAGCTGAACAGATCACGTTTAACCATAATGAAAACGCTTTTCGTGTTTAGGATTTTTCTGTTTCGTGGAGGACCCCCTGGATGCGGAGGGACCTGAGGTCAGAACGCATGCATAACAATAAGTGATTGGGAAAGCTATGGACCTAAATCTATGTGAGCCTTGCCATGTCCCTCGGATCAGCCACGGGGTAGGCTTGTGACACCCCTCTGTTGACTCTGGGTCGTGATAAAACCACTTATCTGGTCGCACGAATTAGGAGATGATATTTTGACTTGGTAGGAGATTGCCAAACAATCTCTGACATTTAACACGGACATGGTGGGAAATGTAACTAAATTCCAGAACAAATAGTTACTCTAGATTGACGTCTCGGAACTGCCATACGGGTGAACCTAGGAAAACATTAACTCTCTGACACGAAAATAGCACTTGCAAGTTCTATTGCGTATCATATTCTAGAGAGAGCACTTATTCCAACATAAGAAATGTTATTCTGTTCGTTCATCTTTGATGCATGTACGTGGAACATATATAGTCTCGGCGCCAGAATGTAAAATAATATGCGCAATTTGTAGAGTCACGTTTACGTAAAATTACGTTGAGTTGGGTACAATGTTATGTGGGCTTGATCCCTACACGACCCCTTAATCCTTGCTGTATAGTTTATGCCTAAACGACCCCTATTCCCGCTGCATAGTCCGACCTTACGCGACCCCTAATCCCACTGTATAGTCAAACCTTACACGAACCTTAATCCCACTGTATAATCCAACCCAACACGACCCCTAATCCCACTGCATAGTCCAACCTTACGCGACCCCTAATCCCACTGTATAATCCAATCCAACACGACCCCTAATCCCATTGTAAAGTCCAACCCTACACGACCCCTAATCCCGTTGCATAGTCCGACCCTACACGACCCCTAATCCCGCTGTATCGTCCAACCCTACACGACCCCTAATCCCGCTGTATAGTCCAACCCAACACGACCCCTAATCCCACTGTATAGTCCAACCCTACACGACCCCTAATCCCACTCTATAGTCCAACCCTGCATGACCCCTAATCCCGATGTATAGTCCAACCCTAAACGACCCCTAATCCCGATGTATAGTCCAACCCTACACGACCCCTAATCCCGCTGTAAAGTCCAACCCTACACGACCCCTAATCCCGTTGCATAGTCCGACCCTACACGACCCCTAATCCCGCTGTATAGTCCAGCCCTACACTACCCCTAATCCCGCTGTATAGTCCGACCTTACGCGACCTCTAATCCCACTGTATAGTCCAACCCTACACGACCCCTAATCCCACTCTATTGTCCAACCCTAACGACCCCTAATCCAGCTGTATAGGTCGACCCTACACGACCCCTAATCCCGATGTATAGTCCAACCCTACACGACCCCTAATCCCGCTGCATAGTCCGACCCTACACGACCCCTAATCCAGCTGTATAGTCCAACCCTAAACGACCCCTAATCCCAATGTATAGTCCCACCCAACACGACCCCTAATCCCATTGTATAGTCCAACCCAACACGACCCCTAATCCCGCTGTATCGTCCAACCCTACACGACCCCTAATCCCGCTGTATAGTCCAACCCAACACGACCCCTAATCCCACTGTATAGTCCAACCCTACACGACCCCTAATCCCACTCTATAGTCCAACCTTGCATGACCCCTAATCCCGATGTATAGTCCAACCCTAAACGACCCCTAATCCCGATGTATAGTCCGACCCTACACGACCCCTAATCCCGCTGTATAGTCCAACCCTACACGACCCCTAATCCCGATGTATAGTCCAACCCTACACGACCCCTAATCCCGCTGTATAGTCCAACCCTACACGACCCCTAATCCCGATGTATAGTCCAACCCTACACGACCCCTAATCCCGTTGCATAGTCCGACCCTACACGACCCCTAATCCCGCTGTATAGTCCAGCCCTACACTACCCCTAATCCCGCTGTATAGTCCGACCTTACGCGACCTCTAATCCCACTGTATAGTCCAACCCTACACGACCCCTAATCCCACTCTATTGTCCAACCCTAACGACCCCTAATCCAGCTGTATAGGTCGACCCTACACGACCCCTAATCCCGATGTATAGTCCAACCCTACACGACCCCTAATCCCGCTGCATAGTCCGACCCTACACGACCCCTAATCCAGCTGTATAGTCCAACCCTAAACGACCCCTAATCCCAATGTATAGTCCCACCCAACACGACCCCTAATCCCATTGTATAGTCCAACCCAACACGACCCCTAATCCCGCTGTATCGTCCAACCCTACACGACCCCTAATCCCGCTGTATAGTCCAACCCAACACGACCCCTAATCCCACTGTATAGTCCAACCCTACACGACCCCTAATCCCACTCTATAGTCCAACCTTGCATGACCCCTAATCCCGATGTATAGTCCAACCCTAAACGACCCCTAATCCCGATGTATAGTCCGACCCTACACGACCCCTAATCCCGCTGTATAGTCCAACCCTACACGACCCCTAATCCCGATGTATAGTCCAACCCTAAACGACCCCTAATCCCGCTGTATAGTCCAACCCTACACGACCCCTAATCCCGATGTATAGTCCAACCCTACACGACCCCTAATCCCGATGTATAGTCCAACCCAACACGACCCCTAATCCCGATGTATAGTCCAACCCAACACGACCCCTAATCCCATTGTATAGTTCAACCCAACATGACCCCTAATCCCGCTGTATCGTCCAACCCTACACGACCCCTAATCCAGCTGTATAGTCCAACCTTACACGACCCCTAATCCAGCTGTATAGTCCAACCCTACACGACCCCTAATCCCGATGTATAGTCCAACCCTACACGACCCCTAATCCCGCTGTATAGTCCAACCCCACACGACCCCTAATCCCACTCTATAGTCCAACCCAACGTGACCCCTAATCCCGCTGTATCGTCCAACCCTACACGACCCCTAATCCCGCTGTATAGTCCATCCCTACACGACCCCTTATCCCGCTGTATAGTCCAACCCTACACGACCCCTAATCCCGTTGCATAGTCCGACCCTACACGACCCCTAATCCCGCTGTATAGTCCAGCCCTACACTACCCCTAATCCCGCTGTATAGTCCGACCTTACGCGACCTCTAATCCCACTGTTTAGTCCAACCCTACACGACCCCTAATCCCACTCTATTGTCCAACCCTAACGACCCCTAATCCAGCTGTATAGGTCGACCCTACACGACCCCTAATCCCGATGTATAGTCCAACCCTACACGACCCCTAATCCCGCTGCATAGTCCGACCCTACACGACCCCTAATCCAGCTGTATAGTCCAACCCTAAACGACCCCTAATCCCAATGTATAGTCCCACCCAACACGACCCCTAATCCCATTGTATAGTCCAACCCAACACGACCCCTAATCCCGCTGTATCGTCCAACCCTACAC